GATCCATCTGCGCAAGCAGCGATACACCAAAAATTCATGTAGTTTAGAATAGACATTTTCATCCATCTTCGCTTTCCTAAGAAGCTCGCATAAAAAACAAAGTTCGCGTAATATTGTGCACTCATGCTTCACTATGCCCAAGTAACACAAGCGATAGTAGGAATCCCGAATGCAGGTTATCATTTCTATCATTTCTGGCTAACAATATTGTGTGTGTTACTAGATATCAGCCTACCCATCTCTACATGGGCTCTGCCCTTCTCAAGATGGATAGATTATAAAGAAAATGACTAATATATCTCGACTATCCCAATACGGTCCCTGGAGGGCACCGCCAGTGCTATGCCCCTGACTAAAGTGCACTATTTAGGCTGGTGGAACCATGGAACTGCTCTAATGTCGTGGTTCTATGTTTGCCGCACGGGATGGGCCGCCCCCATCCACAATTACGCACACGTTCGTCAGCTTATTTCTAGGTAGGTAAGATGCTACGGTATCCGAAGGTTTGGTTTCATGTATAAATGCGCTTCTTATCTTATGTAATACAGGGCTGCCGTCAGAGTTTCATACGTCGCCTGATTTTCACTAGGTTGGACTTGTGCTTATTGAGCTGTGCTATACATATCGAGACTTGGGGCGCCATTCCGAAAAGGTAACAAGGGGAAACAATAAATGAGGTCATTTAGATGCTTATTTCCGTATCCTACCCTCGATGCCAATGGTTTCTTATATGATTATGTCAGTCGCGACCTTATAAAAGCCCAATATCATCCTACATGACACCAAGTTCAATACTACAAATTTTAAATATAGAAGATACTACTTTACTAACGGAGAATCAACCATAAGAGATGTAGGATTTAGGGCATCTCTTCGCCCTACCATCATATCAAGCAAGGCCCGTACCACTAGAGCCAGGGAGCCCGGTTACGCACGGTGCATCACCTGCGCCTCCTGACCCATAGATATACGGGTAATTCTTTGCAGCAAGCGGTGAGTGGTAGCCGACGAAGATAACACACCGATAGGTATACCTAGGTAAGTAGGTAGGTAGCCTTACAAAGGACCCAGAGCCGTATTCATAGATATCCCTAGTCTATTCCTTGAGTATCATTAATATGTCAGACATACCAAAGTACCAATTACCCACACGGATCTACTTCCCACATGGTCGAATGAAGTAAGCAAGACGAAGACAGGGTTAAAATTACACTAGTGTACATAGGTAGCCCACCCGTCCAGTTGGAGGCTACGATACACTATAAAGAGCATCATTTCCAGATCCCATTCTAAGGAACCCTAAGGTGAAAACAATGAAATGTGTTCCTAAATTAGGTTAGGAAAACCGAGTGTAATTCACCATAGCATTAGTAAGAACTTTATTCCAGGATTGTATTTCACATGTGAATCAATCCCGTTCTAGTAACGTGTGAAGTAGACCCTTGCACATATTACCATACGATATGTACCCGCAGTACATTTAACTGCCGGCATTGGAACTTCTATTTCTATAAGTATTAGACGTCACATGGTTACCATTTACTTGGCCAGGTAAAAGAACCTCTGCCTAATCTTGGACAAGGACTGAATGCTCTTAGGGACCTAACCCCTATCTCCGTACATCGACTATGTCAACTATTTTAATATTTTCTGTTTTATTAGCGACCTGCTCAGTATCGAAGACCCTATAGTTTCTATAATTAGAGTCTGAAACTACCAAAGGTGTGGTAGTTGTAACGCGGGTCCAGCTAATCGGGATTCTTCACGACCCAACTGAGTGTTTCATTCCACTTTAAGTTTTTGTACACCTTTTTCAAAAAAGAAAAAAAAAAAAGACAAAAGTCGCCTCTTTTCTACTTCCAATTTAAAAATAATTATATTCATCTCAATGACATATTACACCATAGCAAGATAAACACATGAATTGTTATAATATAACTAGTTAGTTGACCAATACTTTAAAGTCTACTCAGCGTTTCTCAGTTCTTATTAGAATCATACAAGCATAACCAGCTCATATGGTCTAAGAAACCATTATTAATAATCATCATGCACAGTAATGAGCGATATATAGGTGCCTGAGATCATGCTGCATAGAAAACCTTCTCTCTTAAAACTCTATCCACCCTATGACCCTTTCATATTCTTCTATGCTACTAGAATAATTCGCGACTATCCTGTGCCACTAACCTGCTTGCATATTAAACTTGCACTAGTAGCATTGCGTCGTAACGTCCCGTCCCGTCCTCTCCGTGAAGGATGCAAGTTATCGGCTTGGCTCCCACGTCACATCTGCAAGACTTTACCTGACCAGGCTCTAACAAGCGGGTACTCTATTCTGGCAACAACTACCTACCAAGAGACTATAAATCAGACACAGAGATCGGATGAGAAACCCAAAGGAATATGTTGTATCACCGTATCCCGAAGTTGAATACAGATATATGTAAGACTGTAAACTACCACAATAACACCTGACTCAGTCTAAAATTATTTTTCCCGTCACTGAAGGTGCTAAGTAAGAATAGAAAAATGATAGTTATATTTTAACACTTCCAAAACTGACTTAGGTCATATGTTCCTATGCCTGTTTGACCCCTTTATAGTATATAAGCCTCCTTCACTTCTGTTAAGTTCTTAATGATGAAAGCGAACACCTTGCATTTTAATTTCTCGGTGTTTTGCTGGACCAGGCACGTAAAACATGAAAAGCTATTACACTTGAGGCTAAGTCATACCCAACCCCCTTGAGCAAGAACCACTAGCCTACTCCTGATTTTCATAGCTTACCGTTGACAAATGGCCGTCACAAATACGGCTATGGGGAGCATTTACCGTCATTTATGGAATAAAAAGAACATACACGATCTTAGTTTTAACTGCCTAAGCAGAGTCCATATTTTAGGAGATAATTTTCACATTCTTAGAATGGGGTGGTAGCACAGAAGGCATCATTACCAAAGCCATAGAAAAAGAATAGGGTTAAGAATGATATAAGACATTAGTAATAGTATATATGAACATACCGCTCATGAAATGAAACCTTAATACCTGAATCAATATTTACATCAAGTGTAACCACGTCAAATTTGTGCCACGATAGAAAAGCACAACAAGATAATCACAGGAGAGACTTTAAAAGGTTATACATTATATACAAAAAAGATATATTCGAAGGAGTGATATTTTCAGCTTCTGTCTAGCCGGGTAGCCTTTGAGGATTCTACCAATTATCATAACATATCATAATACTATCGTAGATATGGAAAAAGTAAAACAGCTGCAACACCTTAACCTCCTAACGTCATAGTGATCTAGAAATAAGAACGGTTATTTGTACACTAAAGTTTGCTACGTATATTATAGATACGTGAGGTATTTAGTCCGCTAAGAAGTTAAAGCCCGTAGGTATACAAGTCTTTCGTGTTACGAGGTGGAACCAAACAGCATGAAAACATTTCCCTATATCATGTTGTCATCCAAGGGTGACCTCCAGTCTATATGCTCAGCTCTCTCCTTCTCTTCTTCCTTCATGAATGATTGCATTGAAAGACTACTTCATATTACGTGGGGCCAAACACGTTCATGATCCTTTTACGTCACTTTCAAGCTACAGATAGGTACCTAGATACCAGTTTCTAACAGAATATAAAAGGCTGGGAGGGTCTAACATTTTGAAAATTTACAATCCTCTCTTTATCTTTTTTAGCACCTTACACCTCATACTCCTGGTTTTCTTTGGACATTTTACAGTTTTTAGACTACTTCAGCAACTACAACCAAAGTCAGGATTCTCGGCCGTGATCACTGGAAACCGGGACATCGGCACAGAGATAGTTTGACTTCCGGATGCCGACTTCAGTAACAGTCACATTCCGGAGACAGTTTAGGTACTTTTAATCCACTAAGATTATTAACCCTAGCTGTTATCCACCATCACCACTGGCCATTAAATCCCTTATTTGTCATTCTAGGCTCCGACTATACTTCATCAGGTACCTACATCAATTCAGACTTTGCATAGTCCACCTACTTAACTGAACAGTGCAACTCACAATCATTCTCTCGAAACATTCTTCCATTATTTCAAACTTCACTTTCCTTCTACATCTTTCCATCTTTCCATCTTTCCACCTCATCAACAAGACCACTCCACCAATAATATAGCAAAGGGTGATGTCCATAATATGAATTTGTTATCATCACCAGCTCTCGAGCTTTCTAATGAAGCGGAAGAAATTCGCAGTTACCAGAAGTCTGATAATTTTGTATTGAGCATTTTCAACGCCAATACGAATATTGTTTTCAAAGAACAGTATCTTTGAGGTACTTGGAGCGTACTGCTCTATTTTCGGTTCTACTCTAATCGTCTGTCTACGTACGTATTCCGGTCATGGTTTTCCTTCAGCCTTTCTATACTTCAGATCGTCACCCCCCCCCCCCTTTAATCCATACCAACCTCTACAAAAAGATGCCTGGTTTCATGACCTATCAACATACCATCATAATACTTGCTTGCCCCTTTTCTTTCTGTTTGCTGTCTTCGCCATATATCGACCTATCGTGTATATACTAGCAGTGCTATCTGGTCTGTAGTGCATTCTACACGCAGGGGAGATGGTTTGGTGAAGTTGCATCTTCTATCCTTATTTTATTATCTTTTTACTCGCCCTTTCCTCACCTCGCCTCTTGCTAATATCGTTATTTCTTCAACAGTTTTGGCATAACTGGATCCATAAATCGCCCCTGCCTAACAATCTACCCCTAGTCTAACTCTAAATACCAATCGTTCTTTCATACTTTACATGTATGTTCATTCCTAGGACATAGGGGGCCGGCCCGACGTCCTAGAAAGATATTTACTACAAGTCCGACATCTTACATAATCAATACCTTACCTACATCATCAACATCGCTTTATATTATCAACCTCTCTACACCGTCAATATTGTCAATATCGCTATCTAACTGAAACTTCAATAGTACTACCTACAATTACAATGTCCGTACCAGTATCTGTTGGCGAGGAAAGTCAGACCCTAATCTCCACGACCGGAGGGAGTCCAACGCCGGAGACTTTGACCGACGTAGATCTCAACGACAGCAAAGAGCTTTTACGGCAGCTAAGGCGACATATCGGCTGGATTTCCGAGTGGGTAGCAAAAAATAAATCCTTGTGCCATTCCGACAACGAATATGAGTCTATAGGAGAGGCTGGTGGGAAAGCGGAGTTAGATGTCGGGTACTCAACCCAGCCTCCCAATCCGGTTAATACCGAATGGTATACTTCATCCTCCTATGATTACTGGAATACCGACAATAAGGGGGAGGTTCCGAGTCACGAGACGGTGGATGAAGCAAAAGATAATTCAGGTGATGAGGCTAAAAAACCAAGCACCGTGCCGCATCACCTAGCCGACGCCTACGAAGCAGCAGCCAAATCTCTCGGGTATGGAAGGATCCCTTACGAGTACCTGGTGAATCCGGAGGGGTACAGAAACCAGTACTTCGAGGTCAAGAAGTCGCGACTCGGAGGGTATGGGGCCTTTGCAAAGACGGATCTGAGGCAAGGCCAGTTGATTCTTGCAGAACGTCCAACGCTTACAGCAAGCCCTGTGACTTTATATCAGGATATAGAGTTACTGACCCCCGAACTTCGAGCTGCGTTTTATCGAATGCATGGACATAAGAGATCCCCTGATCATGACGAGCGACAGGCAATTTTCCTGACTAATGCGTATGTTTCTATCTATATTATATTATATTATAACCAAACCAAGATTAATGCACTAACCAGAACTAATAGCTTTGCGGTTAATGAATCGTCCGTGGTTTACTTTATTGCGGCACGATTCAATCACGCATGTGGCCAGGCCAGTTCTGTCAAATACCGTATTGCTCAGAACAATATTATAGAGCTCCGAACGGCAAAGGACGTGCCTGCTAGTACCGAGCTGACCATCTCGTACGGATCGATATCACCGAGCAACCTATACACACTATGGGGGTTTCGATGTGCTTGTGGTGGCTGTAGGCCCCTTACGGATGCTGAAGTCAAGATATTAGACAAGAGGGATGATGATGAATATAGAATCTGGTAGGGTACCGATAAGAGATGGTTAGACATTAGACGTGGTCTAATTCGAGTGGATAGATACATGGGTCCTTCCCCCTATTTTTTTTTAGATCGGTGGGTTTTCGCGATGGGTTTTGTTCTAATAAAGATTAACTCTAATTCTTTATCTCTTTCTAAAGAGTACCTGATTAAGGGGATTATAGACCTTACTAAAAGCTGTTAAAAGAAGTGGTGAAAGGTACCTAAGATAGACTACTTCATATGATACAAAACTACCCAATATATTACGTTGACTTCACATTATTCTTCTTTTCTCGTTTGTTTTTGATCATACCATTATTTGTAAAAAATGATAAATTCATTGTTCACCTCAAAACTATGCTAAAGCTGTAGACCTGCCCACCTTATTATATTCTAGAATTAAACATTTACCTGATATAATGCATGTAGGTACATATGTTAGGTACGTAATGTCATGTATCATGTATGAATCACGTGGTATCGCGTTCGATATATGTAATTGGGGGGTATGAAAGGTAGGTAGGTACAAACGCGAAGTAAGTTCCTACATACAATCTGTACACGATAATTACTTTAACCTAAGCTTACCTTAGGCAGGCAGCCGCCAACCGGCTAACCTAATAACTGACAAGGCAACTGCCAAACGCTATGATAAAACTCTAGACTTAACTAATGCAACCTTCTCTTTTTCTCTCTATTAAAAAACATTTCGTGAAACAAATGTGCGCAACTAAATCATTGCACGACCCTCTAATTTTCTCAAAGATGATGTTGCGAGCATCTAATAACAAGTTCACTAAGTTCCGTTTTACGTTGTCCTGAAAACTCTTTCTTGGTTTTACCCTTTGATTATTCTATATGGTATGCCCAGCAACGGATATTCATTTATATGTAGTTGCTACCCATCCAACTACTTGAGACCATTCTCTACAATCACAACATTGACAACCTGAGACACTCGCGTAGTCTGTCTTTCCTGAGTTCCCTTCGCATTTATCACTTCTATTACTTTACCTGGCTAGGATCAGGATATCTTCTTAACGCCGACACCACTATACCCCCTTTACCCCCTTGTTTACTATACTAAGTATCTACATTGTCAATCCTACTTTGATACTGTAACAAGGAACATCTTCATCTTATCGTTAGGCTTTAATTCTTGGTTATTTATCCAAGATGCCTGCCTTTCCTACTTTTGACTGCTATGCCACCCTCGAGGTGGCACGCACTGCAACTGAGCAGGAGATCACTGCCGCCTACCGTCGCTTAGCTCGTATTCACCACCCGGATAAGAACTTCAATGACACTGAAGCCGCTACAGCAGTTTTCCAGAAGGTACGTTCTAGTTTCTATCATTCAAAGTATAACACCAAAACTAAACTAACATTTAATAGATCCAGCTTGCATACGAGACTCTTCATGATCCATTTAATCGTTCTCGTTATGATCTTCACATAGACTCTCAGGACGCCACTACACCTCCTCGGCCCGAATCCCAAGCGCGATCGGATTTTTCGGACTGGACTGATGAGGATGAGGATGAGGACGAGTATGAGGATGGCGATGGCAATGGCTGGATATACGACGATATTTTCCCTCACTTCTTCCGTTTCTTCTTCAGAGACGAGGTTCAACAACCTGGTGATCCAAGATTTTTTGACAGAAATAATGCCTTTCGTCAATTTCAGCAGGGGAGGCAAGAGCAACGTGACATGGTCGTCGAGGAGATTCGTAAGCGAAGAATGGCCGAGGAAGCACGCAAAAAAGCTCGAGAAGACGAGAAGAAATCTCAAGAAGAGATGAAAGCCAAGCAGAAAGAGGACGAACGTAGTGCCGAAAAGTCCAGCCAAGAGATGCGCTGGAAGGAGCTCAACGCCATCACCAAGGATGAGAAGGTAGAAGCCTGTCTCCACTCTGGTTTCTGCAGCAAGATCCAGCAGTCTAAGAAGTTCAAATGTGGCGCTTGTAATGTGAAACGAGGCATTATAGCTTTCGAATGTCCCTATTGTTTGTCGCACATCTGCCAGCAGTGTGTGTCTGACTTCGCCAAAAAGCGCTCCTTGGCCTCGATGCAGGATAGCCCTAAGCCTGAAGTTGATCCCAAGTCAACGGCTAAGCCGGAGCCAGAGACTAAATCCGAGACTGAAGCGGAATCGTCAACTCAAGCGAAGGACGGCCGCCATAACGAGGGACCCAACACTAAATCCAAGGGTGGTAAAGGCCGCAAGAAGAATAGAAACCAGAAGAAATGATGGAACCCAAGGTCATAACTTTTACTACAACGAGGCAGATGATGTTTTTCCCAAGTGTCTTAACAACCTTAACAGCTAAGGCAATCAGTATATCTGAGTAAAGGAGATGAGATTGATGCAAGGTTAGCATCATTTAATAGCAAGGCCACTGAGACTGCGATGTTATGGTTTAGGATTCATTGCGAGCTCAGGTACAAGTTTTAAGGGAAACTGACAGGATCTGGTATTTTGTGGGTTCTGCATCAGAGGGTTGACTACACCCCGGAGGAGTTTTCGTTACAGATTGGCGAGATACCCAAGGATGTTTGTATTAATCGATGTTTTTTAGCAGTATGTGCGGCAGGGCTTTCTCCTTTTGCATGTGCCAATGTGGCCTAGTTCATTGTGTGCTATGAGGTCTCTACAAATGTATGTATGTCATAGTCATAAAGCACAATTGACAGTCAGTCTAATTATTAGCAAAACTCAATTTGGTCTTGGGAGTTCGTGCTAGCTAAGTGGTCATAAAATAAGGCGATATTCTCATCATGACAAGGTAGGTAGCTTCGGGAACGTTTTCGTTCGTAAGGCCGGCGGAAGTCAAGAAATGTATCTGCCAACCAGGTCTATATTGCAAAACCCTACTAAACAAACGGAGTTATAATTCCATAATTAACCTCCGCTTCGCACCCATCTACCTATGAATATATATCCAAGACACGCCCACCTGTGTGTCAGCCTCCATCACGCCAACTCGCTCGTATAGATAGCTAAGTAGGTACGCACGGCTAGAGGCAGCACACAACACACATGACGGGCGTTGTAAGCGCCCCGGATGTCTCACAGGGCAGTAGGGCAGTAGTACAGCGTCAGCAGCCACTACTCGTTAACTCGTCGGTTTACGTACCCGGAAAAGTAAGGGATAATAGGTACCTACCTATGCTTCGGGTGTTTGAGGTAAGGGCGGAGAAATGGGGAGGGGGAATGGGATGCTTTTTTTTTCTTTCCCCTGCGGCCGGCTGGTTGGGTTATTGTATGGTTCCAGCTCTTTGGGTCGGGTACTATGAGCTTGACAGGATATAGTCAGGCACCGTACCTTTTAGTATGTGTGTAAGGGGGTATCTTGACTGATTTGCATGTGATCTCTCATTCACTTTGAAGCTTAAGCTCAAGTTACTGTTATAATAATGGATGTATTTACAAAAACACGATACAACTCTTGTAGTCCAACATGATTTACAAAGGTTAGCAAGATACAAATTCTGCGCACAATCGAGACTGGTCTTTTAATTCGAGGGTTTATATATCAATTTGAGAATCTGCCTCGGCCGGGTATTGATCAGAAGCGGACAAATTCCCGTCATCCTATTACCCCTTTTCAGGGTCCCGTTGAACTGACGTGAAGGAGCCTACACATGCAAGCTCTACCTCTGGCTGCCACCGAAAAAAATGCAAGATGTGATCAGACCCGAAATAATAATGCTACTCATGACCGAATGCCCAGCTATCCGCTTTGCTTTCTACCTCCTCCTCTTTTTGCTTCAGCCTCCTACTATGTCTGCTAGCAGACTCAGCTCTCCCCTTCTCCTCTCCTCACGTGCGTGAAGCACTTGAGGGGCCACCACCAACAGTAAAAAGAATATCAACAAAAGAAACAGAACAAATAATGTGTATCGCTTTATGACGTCGGTAGCGGCGTCACTTAACTCTACCCGAGCAAAGGCGTAGCATCTGAAGACCTCCTCTTTTCATGTACCAATATTTTATGACACCTATGTGCTAACCCGGGATCTCGTCCAACCCATTTGCGTTCTCGCTGTATCTCGAAATGGAAAGCTCCTCTTATAGAATAAGTTTGCATTTATGTAGCTGATCAACTTTGGGTCCGTCCACTGAAGGATTGAGGAAAGGAGGCAGAAGAGAGGGGCGACGCGAGCTCACGCAGCCTAACTCGGTATATAAGATTAAACAGTACATATACACCAAAAAAATTCGAAGTTATTGTCACCAAACGCCCGCCGCTATGATGGCTACCCTAGGTAGTGTTCGGTTCGTTTGCCGTTCTCATAGAATAGAAATTAACTAAAGCTTAAAGAGTGACATCGAGAACTAGGCTGACGTCTTGAACATTAGATCCGGCCAGGTCCTCGAGAACGGGTATCAAGTCTAATAATTCGTTGTCGTGAGCGTCCGAGAACCAACTGCTGATAGGCACAGCGTGTTGAGGATGGAAGATGTATGAGGTAGGTGAGTTGTCAATGATAATGGTATCCTTGAGGTCTCTGCCGACCTGAGAAAGATCCTTGACGTAATTGCCTTGATGGTTATAACAGCTCTCTCGGAACAGTCGGTGGTGGACAACTTTGTGAATGTCGAGCTGATCCAGCAATGGGTCGCCGTACTATTTAACCAGATTAGAAGAGACAACAGTAGTAGTAGTAGTATATGTAACGTACCTTAGAAACAGAGGCTGTGAACACTACGACTTCGTATAGCTCGCCTACGCGCTTCATGAACTGATCTACACCAGGTCGTTTGATGACATACACATTATGATAATTGCCCTCAATTTCAACTGGTATCGTGAAATCAGCTTGGTGTAGTATCTGCGACAGTTAGCTTGTTGACCACGTTTAGACGACTATTTCTATCACATACCTTGAAAGAGCTATGCACCAAAGTCTCATCCAGGTCCAATACTAGACACTTCCTGCCCTTGAAACGGGGTTCGATAGGTGGTAGAAGATATTTTTGTTGGCCTTGCTCTAAATCCACGGATTTCTCCTCTGGCGCAATTGGGGCTGGATTGGCAATGGGGACCGGTCCGGGAGGTGGCGGCGGAACTGACTTCGCATATTGAGACTCGTCGTCCGTACCAGGTTGTTTAGCTGGCTCAGCTACAGCTAGTTCCGTATCTGCCATCTCAACATCGCCGTCAACGTCCCTGGTGGATGGCCCTTCGACAGCATCCGCCTCCGCTTCATGATCTTCTGCAACCGGAGGGTTAACCGTGATGCTGGGACCCGGTACACCGACCAGGGTGGTCTGTTTCGACTCGCTCTCGCGTTCGCCGACCGTGGACTGGTCCTGAGCCGTTGACCCCGAGACCCGCTTTGCGGATTTGGATGCTTCTTGAGCAGCGGTGCTTGCTTGAGGCGACGACTCCTTCTCCTTCTCGTAAACCTGAGTCTTGCTACCACCCGTCTGCTCTGAAGGTGTTGTAGTTCGTCGGCTAGATGTCAGTGGTCTTTGAGGGAGCTTGTCGAGTTTGTGAGAAGGGAGTGGATCTTCACCACCTTCGAGGGTACTGGCGTGATTAGGAACAACACAGCATCCAAGAAGAGCCAGTAACCCGCCCTTTTTCCGCCGCTGCGGAGCCCCAGCCGGGGAGTTTGGCAGCAATGTGCTTGGTGTAGTCGTAGGATTCGTGGCAGCCCCAGAGTGATTGCTGGACGCACTACCGTTCCGACGCCGGCCAAGCATACTGTGTTTTGATTCCTTAGAATTGCCACCAATACTATCTCGCGGATCGTCAGCAGTCGTCCCGCTGAGACCCGTTGTTGCTGACGATGACTGTATCTTTTGCGATGAAGATCTCGACGGTACGTTTAGGAGGCCACGTCCTTTTCTTGAAGCTAATCCGTCCTCGGCCGTAACTGATTCCTTTTCCCTCGAGTTTTCGTGCTCCGCCAGTGCTTTCTCGTCAGCACCTCTGGACATCTTTTTCAATTAAAAGTTGATGCTTGATAGCTATAGGAGACGGCAAGCTATCGCACTGTAAAAGTAAGATTAGCTATAGACACATGCCAAAAACTGGAGGCTCATCCTGCTTTAAATGAGGCAGATTTACTGGCGCATTAAATCGCGTCGATCAATTGGAAACGAACGGCGCTTCTAAGAAGTAAAGGGACTCGGACAGAAATAGTCCCACTCGAGGCGTGGGAAAGCTTATCAATTGTTGCTCACCTTGATACTCAACGGCCGTTCACCTTAAATAGCTGCCCAAACCCCTAATGCAGCAATTGGTGGCCTTGAACGGCCGAGTAATTATTATGGCCGTGTCGGCGACCGCGACCAAGGGGGAAAGGCTGGCTAATGCGGCTGAATCGGAAGTGAAGATAGAGATTCTAAAAGCCACGAGACGAGCGAAGGAAATAAGAGGCGATGCGATGGAGATGTCGAGAAGAACGGCGCGTCGTAACAAGAAACCCTGCTAAGATTGAGATAATTCGGGGGGATGAAGTGGGTCAGTCACTTGGGACTTGCGAAGGAGGAAACAGATTGAACCTGGATGTAGGTAGACAGATGACGAGCCTCGAGGTACCTTTGGGGGTGGGCGGGTATCTGAACAAATAACTCCAAATCCTAGCTGTAAGAAGAAAAAAAATAAAGTAATGGCACAAAAAAGCCCAAAGATGTCCCGGAGAACCTAAGTGAAAGGGAGAATGAAATGGATTGAACAAGTATAACGCTGGAAATGATACCTAAGGTAAGGTAATAGAGGGTATGGTAAGCTTAAGGCTTAAAGTACATACGTACAAACAGAGAGCTGGCTGTAAAAAGAAATGAAGACTATCTCTTCCACTACTCTGAGGGATTGTTGCGCGGAGGCTGAAGAAGTCTGGAATCGCAAGCGAAATGATTTCCGCAAAGAAACTGGACCACATTTGGGGGGGGGCAGGGGAGGGCACGGAGCAATTTGAACAGGGGGGGAAAGCCGCTAGCGTACCTGCCTTGCCTGCTTAAATCACTTAAAATCACTTGAAATCACTAAGAAAAGGGTGTGACAGGGGTTAGTTTAGAGGCATCTGCCCAGTTGATTGCTACCTACATGTACTAGGTAGTATGTACCTAGGTATGTACTATGTAATCCACTGGCGGCTGGGCTAGTTTGGTTGGTTGGTGTCCAGTAGGATTGCTTATTGCTACAATGTAATGAAGGTATTTATGTACTCCGTTTGATTATCACCCACTGTCACCGAAACATAATTAGGGTAGGGACTTGAGAGGGAACATGTGTATATTAAAATCTGTTAGGAAAGATATGAGAGTTCCCCATACCTCCGAAACAGAATCCATCCCGCTTTGGTACTGCATCAATCATCAATTCATTAGGTACCTCTTATGTTCCCATCCATCTTCCCAGCTTCCCTAGCTTCCCCCCCTATCTATCAGGTACCTCTATGTTATTATTGTACTAAAGAATCCACCAGAGAATAAAGAGAATTAGGTGGTTGCTCATTCAGTGGTGTAATCTCACGGACCTCCAGGGCTCTACTATTCTAATAATCATCCGCAATTGCATTTCAAAACTATTGGATGTAAAACTTTTGGTGGCTTTATTAAGTGTCCAGTATTGTGTATCAGTACATCCGTTGTTGTTTTTGCGCCTTTACAAGAACAATAGTGTAATATAAATGGCTGACGAGTTATCATATTTGCCTAGCATCTAACTTACAGGTTATTTAACTTAACTACAGGTTCGGTGCCACATCTATTTCATCTCTACCTATCCTCGACCTTTTACGAGATGCCAGACAGATGAACCGTTTCAACATTAAAAAAGGTAGCTACTTGTTAGACATTACACGCTATCTTAAAGCGCCATCGAGCCGAATGGACCATATAAAACCTTGAGATTCTTGAGATTCTTGAGATCCTTGAGATCCATCTGTTTGCATGACCTTTTTATCGCTCGTCACATCCGTGCGGCGTATAACAAAAGGGTTTCTGTTACTACTTCAGTCGTACCTACTATGCGTAAGGCGGCAAGGAAGACAGGAAGCTAGGGTAGCTACATGAACATTTGGACCAAAATTGAGAGTGTCGTGGAGAACGAGCCATGCAACTCTCCGAGGCTCGTTTTTGATTGGTTCCGTTGGCGCCCGTTGAGAAGTGACGGTTGAGAAATGGAGCCAAACTATTTGTTCACTTACCTTTTCAAGACACAAGCTACAGCCAACCGACATTCGACATTCGACGTTCGATCATTTACACAAATAACGTTGAGTATGAATATCTCAGTAACACAAGTACGAATCCGTATAAATGATATAATGCAAAGGAGATTTATAATACCATTAATATATTCCAAAGTCAGCCTCTATCGTACCAGGCAAACAAATAGTTACAGCGTAGTTACAACGTAAGACTGTCCGGGCATTTTCATCTTAAGCGATCCAGCCAGTTGGGTATTACTGTCGTATAATATCCACCTATCATCTCTCCCGGAGTCAAATAATAAATGTTTTTGATATCTTATTGGATCAATTATATAAAGTCCAGTCCATATGATATTTTTTTTGGTACAACCGTTTTTAATATCAAGCTCCGACCTAAAAATCTTAAAGCGAGGAGGAAAAAAAAAACAAATGCCCCAATTTCTTTCCCCGGACTTCTACAACCTGCAAACAAGCCACAGCCTCGTGCAGGTCCACAAGCTGCAGGTAAATCGTGGGGGAAGGTGGCTCATACCTGGGGCTTTGGCCACGTGATAGCTTAACCTTTCAACCAATAACCATAAAGATATCATTGACGGTTTCCGAACTCAGAGGATCAACCTCGGATCATCACATGCCTCAGCTTTGGTCGCTTTCAATCGTCACCAATGACGGAGTTACAAGCTATCCCAGTTCTTTTCCTCTATCTCAACTACCTCTCAGAGACATGTCGGTAGCATTTACTTCCAACACTAGAAATTCAAACTATTTTATTATTACTTTATTCCTCTCGCTCCGTCTAGAAGTCCCATAAATCTCATCGCTATAAATGGCACTCGGAATAGACTAATTATAAGCCTGTCCCTATTGATGTCATGTCACGATGGCGGTGCAATCCACTCTTCGCCATTCGGCATCCGAAGACATACTCGTAGCCTTTCTCGACAAGTATAGCAAACTAATACGAGATCGCCTACGAAAGACCTCTCGACGTTCCAAGCTCTTTGCAGCCCTCTTACTCGCCGCGTCGATAATACTCAGCGCCGAAGGTGGTCGGAGATGGTGGAATCGAAGAAGGCAGGAGAAAGAGCAAGGACGGAAGCTTGTGCGCACGAATTCGTGGTTATTCAATAAAGATGGTTCACGAACGATATACGTTCCGTATAAAGATGGGACGTCTAAAGTAGTTATCAATCGGACAAAACCTTTAACCTTCGAAGCGCATCGTCGGCTCTTCCTAAACCCGCCCAAGGTTTCGGGGCTTGGTGATGGAACTGTTCCTTCGGCTCAGACCAAACCAGGACTGAATCTTGCTTTCTTACATCAGTTTCTCAGCCTAATGAGTATCATGATACCGCGATGGACTAGCAAAGAGGCCGGTTTATTAGTCAGCCATGGCGCATTTTTGATGCTTCGCACCTATCTTTCGTTGGTAGTTGCGCGCCTAGATGGTGAGATTGTTCGTGACTTGGTCGCAGGTAACGGAAAGTTATTCCTCTGGGGTATAGCAAAGGTATGCTACGATTCTACATCAAATTCAGTTATGAATGTGTCACTAACTAAACCAAGTGGTGCGGACTTGGCGGTTTTGCCTCCTACACCAATTCTATGATCAAATTCCTCGAGTCTAAAGTATCTATCGCATTCCGAACTCGATTAACAAGATATATACACGACTTATATCTTAATGATAATCTCAACTACTACAAGTTATCCAACTTGGACGGCGGCGTCGGACAGGGAGCCGACCAATTCATTACACAAGATCTAACCCTGTTCTGTGCTTCAGCTGCCAATTTATATTCCTCACTTGGGAAGCCATTTATCGATCTCTGTGTTTTCAACTATCAATTATATCGCTCACTAGGCCCACTCGCGTTAACCGGTCTTATGAGCAACTACTTCCTGACAGCAAGTATTCTGCGAAAGGTGTCGCCTCCTTTCGGCAAGCTTAAAGCAGTTGAAGGACGTAAAGAAGGAGATTTTAGAAGTCTTCATGCCCGTTTGATTGCAAATGCCGAGGAAGTCGCTTTCTATGGTGGTGCTGAAATGGAAAAGTCTTTCTTAAACAAGGAATTCAAATCCCTCAAGAGTTGGATGGAAGGAATCTACCTGCTTAAGATCCGTTATAATATTCTCGAAGATTTCATCTTGAAATACAGCTGGAGTGCCTACGGTTATCTCTTGTCATCTTTACCAGTCTTCCTCCCAGCTTGGGGCGGCTTAGGAGGTGCAATGGAGATGGTCGACAGCGCTGAAAAGGGTGGCCGAGAGCGCAATCGTATGAAGGACTTCATCACGAACAAGCGACTTATGCTCTCACTCGCGGATGCGGGTGGGCGCATGATGTACTCAATCAAGGACCTTTCCGAACTGGCTGGTTACACTAGTCGCGTTTATACCCTAATTTCGACGCTACACCGTGTACATGCCGACGCATACGTCCCGCGACCAAGTGGCAACGAACTATACTCGCTTTCCGACGTCCAGGGTACCATCCAGAAGGGCTTTGACGGCGTACGATTTGAACATGTGCCTATCGTTGCGCCTGGACTGTGGCCTCAAGGTGGCGAGGAATTATTAGAGTCGCTATCCATGATCATCCGCCGAGGAGAGCACTTGTTAATATCCGGTCCGAATGGTGTTGGCAAGAGTGCTATTGCTAGGGTCCTTGCTGGGCTTTGGCCAGTCTACCGTGGTTTAGTGAGTCAGCCCAAGTCCATTGGTCAGGATGGAATTATGTTCTTGCCTCAGAGGCCGTATTTGAGCGTGGGCACCTTGCGTGATCAGGTCATCTATCCAGATGGTGAACTAGACATGCGCCTCAAGCGTAAATCCGAGGATGAACTAAAACGAGTGTTGGATGCTGCCAAGCTTGGCTACTTACCTGATCGAGAGGGCGGCTGGGATACTCGGAAGGAATGGAAGGATGTTCTGAGTGGAGGCGAAAAGCAAAGAGTCGGCATTGCCCGGTTACTATACCACGAACCCCAGTATGCTGTAATTGACGAGGGCACCAGTGCTGTGTCAAGCGATGTCGAGGGTCTATTATACGAAACATGCAAGGAAAGGGGTATTAGTAAGTCACGTGACAACTCCCTCTTCTACTCGTAACTAACAAACCACAGCTTTGATTACCATCTCGACGCGTGCTTCCTTGAAGAAATACCACACCTTTAACCTCATGCTTGGGATGGGTGAGACCGGCGACAAATGGGAATTTGAGAGAATTGGAACAGAGAGGGAGAAGATGCAGGTAGAACGGGAACTACAAGAGCTTCGAGAAAGGCTGTCTCAAGTTGAGCAGTGGAAGCAACGGCATGAGGAGATTGAGAAAGAGCTCGCACAAGTATGGGTCGAGGGCGATGCTTCCTTGGATCCGCCCCCATATGTGGAAAATACTGCTGAGCCCGAACCAGAGAAGGGTGAGGCCCAATAACGTGACCTACTGTACGATGCTATGTATGAGTTATTGTAACTAGCAAATTTACCTAACGTGCTGAGCGATGTCATGTTTCCTATATTTTGGATTGAAGTTCTGGGTAACAGGCCGTGTAAACGAAGATGTCAAGATGCTAGCTAGCATCAGCCTTGGGGAAATTAGAATAAGAGAAGTGTAGCGATTTATTCTATTATGTGAAAGGCTTCCTCTGTATGATGTCAAATCCTAAAACATGAAAGGTACATTGCTACTAGCAAAGCTCTTGTGTCACCACTTGACGAGGTAGATAGGGCCTAAGAGTCAAAAGCCCCTTATGACTAGTCCTTGAAGTCTCCTAGGATATTTCTGATAAATTTCACTTTCCTATAAGCTCACTCTATGCTCTATGTAGATTGGACATAATATATTTACTATTGGACATACCAGCTTCTCGTATATCTTAGTTCACGTCCAGCCTTGTTTATCCCTATCCGCGAACTTCTTTGGAGGCATAACATATCTTAAATCTAGTTAAGCAAAATCAAAACTTGAATAGGATCAACGGTCAGGTGGAGGCTATGTACAAATATAGATCTATGCAAAATATTCTCTTTGTATTGATCTATTATCGGTTACGGAACTTATCTAGTTGCGTAGTCGGTGCAGTCTCTGAATATCGCCACGTCCACTGCTTAAGCTATTTCGATAACTCTAGTTGCATATAGAGATTTTAGGTACCCTTAGACACTGAGGCGAGTTGAGAACAGTTACATGCGCCTCTAAGCACCCAAATCAAATAGGTAATTACTTAGGTAGGTACCTTTCTGCTCTGCCAGTTGCTAGACTGACCTGCCGGCCGCCTCGGTTGCCTAGGCCACCGTACTGAAGGATATAAGGCCAAAAAGCAGAGCAACTTTCAGCCGACCCCGTAAAAAGGAAGTAACCCTGGGTGACTGGAGGCTAGAGAAAACTGCACCGTGGTGTCATATGCTGGACCGGTATGCCCGTGACTTGACAGTACGACATTTACAAAGTAGTTTTTCGTAGGTTCTGTGTTCAACACACAGGCCGAGCTTTTTTTGCAATTCCTTTTTCTTTTATTTCGGACTCCTACGTAGATACTTCTCATTTGTTTTTTCTCTCCTTCAAATTTCGCTTTTTCTATTTGGCCTCCTTTTATTTTTTTATTAGCCAATTCATGCGAAGACACGGATACAAAACAGCCTACATTGCCAGTCAATATAAAATCATTTTTTGGACACTGGTTTGTTTCCCCTGTGAATCCTACTTAAATCTGATGTTTACGGTTGACAAAAATGTAGGAGACAATATTTTCATGATCAGCCCCTTTTAACCCCCTTTTCCGGCCTTATAGTCTCTGTTGATCGCATGGGAAAGGCTACAGACACTAAACTTCAAATAGATTATCGAATCGCTTTTATATATATGCCCATCTACATAACGTAGTTCCATTACTTAAATTTTAGTCAAAGCAAAGGGCATCCAAACCTAAGCTCTAGACAATGTTGACGAAGGAATGTGTAGCCCCATTTCGAATCCGGCCTGAACCACCGTAGAGGCGGGTGTGAATCGGCCGAGAACTCGGCCTAATATGGATTCCCGCCAGAGCATGAAAGCATCGTGATGTAGTATGTAGCCTTTATATGAACCGTCCTTTATTTGATCGTATAACTCCATCTGTATCATGATCGACGCATATAGTGGGGCTTGTATAATTACTTCGCCGCAAAACCATATCGTGGTGTTGGACACAGCCTCAAAACATCCGACTCACGCCACTTCAATAAACTTATAATTGAACCTTCTCTCTCCTTTCCTCTAAATATTTCTTAAGTTCCGATAAACAAGTCTACGGCTGTTCACATCGTCGTCAACAAGGGTTTAACTGTAAGATCGCATCATGGTAGAGCGTCTTCCAACTTCATCGGAGAAGGCGTGGCGGGACGACCCCAGCGACGAGCCGCCGGCATACAAATTCCAGTCGAATAAAGCTAGAGATGATCTCCCGTCATACCAGGAAACTGTTGGAGATGATCAGGACGAAAAGAGTTATCAGAATGATAAGAAACCTACAAGTTCCAAACCGAAGAATAATCAAGACCTTCCACCTTGTAGCCACTGGTCGGAGAGCAGGTGTAATATGACTTCCAACTCTAGACAATGCTGCTCTTGTGTCGACGATCGGCCTAAAACGGAATCTGGACTCTATCCGATGTATGTGGATCGTGAAGGCTGGGTTAAAAAGGCTACCAGGTGGAAATATTACTGTCCGAACTGTCAGGGTACGTCTAGCTAGTTTCTTTCCTTGCTAGTGCAGTTTGCACATAATCTACTAGGGACTCCTATCTTTCATATTTCTTCAACTAATTCGAAGTAGAATATTTCGATCCGGATGCTAAGGCTAGAAGTTTGAGAGACCAATGGGCTTGGGCGGAGAAACGCGCACAGTCTTTGGCTGACGAGCGGGACCGACGATATTTCGGGCTCGGACGCTGGATACATGTCTGCAGCGAGTCAATAAAAAGTTGCTTGCCAGAGTGATCGATCATAGTATTCCGGTGATTGAGAGGGCTTGATTGAGAAAGCACTTTCCAAGATGGTTCAAAAAATAACATCAGTGTATACATGTGTATTTTCCGCGAGAGTTGTCAATATACCCCATATGTACCTGTTTAAAATTACGCAATTTCAATGCAAACCTTCCCCTGGTGTTTCCCTGAGGCCAGATATTCATATGCTTCCTTCGTTTGTTCTAGTGTAAAGATCTTGTGATCGACGATAGGGCGCAACTTGTCTATGTTAGCTTCGATAGCGCGGCACATATCTTCCATCTGAAGCCGAGTGCCGAGCCATAGACCACGAGCCGTAAACAGTTTCATCCAGCAATCCAGCAAGCCAGGCATCTCTGCAGTCCCGTCACCACCGCCGACACCTCCCAAGACGCAGACTACGCCGTCATGTTTTACAGCCGCAACACTCTGCTTCAGCGAAGTTGGCCCTACGACATCAATAACATAGTCAACGCCAAACCCTCCAGTAAGCTCCCTGGCTGCGGAGGCCCAGTCGGGGGTCTCGCGATAGTTTATGATATGGTCGGCACCCAACTTCTCAAGAAGCTTCGCCTTCTCCCGTGAGCTCGTCGTCGCAATGACCCTGGCACCGACCAGCTTAGCGAACTGAACGGCAAAGATACTCACCCCACCAGTGCCCTGCGTCAAAACCCACTGGCCGGCAGCGACTGGTTTCCCAGATAGGCCGAAGAGCGCGTTCCAAGCGGTTAGTCCCGCGCAGCTGAGCGTCGCAGCCTCCGGAAAGGTTAGGCCCTCGGGCATCTTGACAAGGCCTTGCTCGTCGAAAACTCCGGCAGTGCGTAGGGTGCCGTCCACCGAGGCACCGAGACCAACTTTTGATAACTCTTCGGTGAAAGATCCTGCAATTAACCGAGGGTTGAGAGCGGTAATGACCTTGTCGCCTGGCTGGAACCGACTAACGTGCCTCCCGGTAGCTACGACAATTCCTGCTCCGTCGGAGCCAGGAATGACATTTGGTTTGGTACCCCAAGGGAACTTCCCCTGAGAGACCATGATATCTCGAAACTAGGTTTGAGGTTAGTCTTATGAGTAGAAGGTAAATATGCGAACTAACATTTAAAGAGGCCCCGTGAACTGTGACCAAGAGTTAGTAAAAGCACATATAAAATAAAATATCGACGAGGTCTATTAGAGACTTACTCCTAACTAAGACTTCGGTATCGCCGAGTTCAGGTACTGGCTGCTCTGAATATTTCAGGGACTCGAGGCCATCATAACCTACGACATTCCACTGCTTCGTGGTCTTCAGGACGGGATGGGCCATTGTAAGATGTAAAATATCTCTGTAATTGATATATGCTTCTCTGCACACCAGACTAATGTTCGATGTCTACATAATAGGCAAGCTCGTGTTCAATATATACTAAGAAGAGGTCAAGGGGGATTAAATGACATTATATAAGCGTAAACGATTGAGATATGGATATTCAAATTTATAAGCATGTCCGTGGAGTTCCGTGGATTTCACCATCAATTGTAATTAAAAGCACATCGTAGTCAAATTCATATTGATTTATAAATAAGATGATTTTATGTCCACTAAGTCGGTTTGAAGTAGTCGTCATGTCGAGTAATGAAGGTACGTTATGAATAGGAGGTACGTTACGAAAAAGGGGCTTGCATTTTGAATCTCGATAATTACATAATATACTACTTTGCATATCTAAATGTATTCCGTATTTAATAATCGAGTTATACTAATTTCCGAAGATTAGAAGAGAGAAATGACAAACGAAATCTTGACAACTTCAAAACGTCATTGCATTCTTAAAGAATTACTCACATCTACTCTCCTTTATCTTTGACTTAGCTTGGCTGTTAGAAATACATTTTACTATAATTCCTGATAAGATAGCGCTTCTCTTATTACAGCTAGTCTAACCGACCAATACCGAGATGACCCTGTCGCATGTTACATCGAAGCAACCTATGCTCCATTATGTTTATACTGTTTATACGTGTAGACAGTTATGATCATCCACCTCCAACTACTGACTGGAAAGATGTTGTAATACATATAAGAAGTTTCTACGTATATACCAACGAGCACTTACATGGAGGCCGAGGGTAGCAACAGAATCATATGGGTTGACCATGTGAATCTCCTCCAATCTGATTGGGTGATATACCCCAGCTCGATGCAGCGCGACGAGTGGGCAGATCCTATCGAACGGAGATTGTCTTATCTTACTTATCTCTTCAACTCATATTTCAGCCAGGGATCAAGCTTCAGTTCCATGCATCTAGGCTGACGGACCTACAAGAATGAGCGTGCCACTCGCTGCATCTGCACAGAATTGCATATGTCCGCAATGGACGATTCGATGTCGCTTATCTGATTCCGAGCAACCCCTCAACCTATAATCTAATTTGTTGCTTGTTGCTCGTTGCTTGTTACTTTCTATAAAGTAAAGGCTTGCCACTCATTTCTTCAGTCGGTTCTGTTATTATTAAAGTTAAAAGGATCTATACATTAGATACGTTTGAGAATATAGGGTATTGAAGTCATAAGAGCAAACATGACGAAGAATGCGCCTACTCTCGACGATGAAAAGAAACCCGAACTGGGAGGCTTGGATGACGATACCGTTGTCGCCGTCGACCATGGCGTACAAGTCAATGCCGCGGGATATAAAGATCAGCTGAAGCGTCAATATGGTCTTCTCGGAATTGTCGGTTTTGCTCTTACCGTCGATAACGCCTGGGCAGCTTTGGGATCTTCGATATCAGTTTCAATTCGTAAGTAAAACCCTACTCATAACTAGACACATGATTTATTTTATTTTATTTTGTGCTTGATGTCGAACTAACATGAGCTCGACTGTCGATAGTTAGTGGGGGGCCTCCAGGTCTGATTTTTGGCCTCATTGTTGCTTTATTTTGGTATTCCTTTATAGGTATGAGTCTGGCCGAGGTATGTCGCCCTCTAATTTCCCCATATAGAGATATAACAGATCTGAGTAAGTTATGAGAAGTTAACTTGGATGCTAACTTATTTTTAAGCTTGCCTCGTCAGTACCCACCGCTGGCGGCGTGTATCATTGGGCGACCATCGCAGCCGGACCAAACTGGGGTCGAACTGTCGGATTCTTCACAGGTTGGATCAACTTTTATGGCTGGATGTTTGACTTGGCAGCCCTGGTTCAAATCACCTCCAATATTCTCGTTCAGATGTACGCGGTTTACCATCAGGACACTTATGTTCCGGATTCCTGGCATGTTTATGTCACGTACATTGCTGTCCTATGGATTTCAACCTTATTCGTTATTTTTGCGAATAGACTCGTACCGTATACCCAAAACTTCGGAATGTTCCTAGTCTTAGTCGGAGGTATCGTAACGATCATTGTGATTTCGGCTATGAACCCGGGTTCCCATGCCTCTAACCATTTTGTATGGGGTTCGTTCGAGGAAAACAACTGTGAGTACCATTCAAAACATGTCCCTCTTCCTTGAGCCTTATAAAACCTTCGAGTTTATAGATATAATCCGTAAACTTGGCTTCTTCCCAAGATCTCCTCCATAATATTATTGTGTTACTAACGCCGTTATGATAGTGACGGGTTGGCAAGGTGGCGTTGCATTCCTTTTAGGAGTGCTGAACGGCGCGTTCACTATTGGCACGCCTGATGCCATTACCCATATAGCAGAAGAACTTCCACACCCAAGGAGAGATCTTCCAAAAGCCATGGGACTTCAGATAGGTTTAGGGTTCCTGTACGCGTTTGTTTTCGCCATCGCGCTTAGCTACGCTATTACAGACCTCTCAGCGTTGCAAGGTGGCATCAATACCTATCCCCTTGCTGTCATATACCTGCAAGCGACAGGTAGCTCAGGAGCGACCTTCGGCCTCTTATTCATCCTGCTTCTCACTAGCATGTGCTGCTGTGTTGGAACGGTGCTGACGAACTCGCGCACGTACTGGGCACTAGCTCGAGACAATGCCGTACCGTTCTCTGGTATTTTCGGCAGGGTTAACGAAGGGCTTAGCTGTCCTATATATGCAACCCTGTTCGTGTCTGTCGTCGCTACTGGTCTTGGTGCAATCCCCTTGGGAAGCTCGAGCGCCTTCTTGGCCCTAACGGGCTCCTTTATCGTTTTAACGACAGTGTCATACGCAATTCCATTTACTGCCAATATGATTACCGGACGAAAATACTTCCCCCCAGGGCCTTTTCACATGGGGAAATTTGGATATGCAGTGAACTTGATAGCTGTTTTGCTTATAGCCATGTTTGTCATATTATTTTGCTTCCGTAAGCTACCCCCGTTCCTTGTGTCGGTTCAGTTACTAACCTCTTTTCGTAGCTTATGAGATACCTACAACCATTGAGGCTATGAATTACAATAGCGTGATTCTTGTTGGAACTCTCACGCTTTCGTCGATATGGTGGATTGTACATGGAACCCGGCATTATCCAGGTCCCAAGGTGATGAAGCTATACATTCATGATGATTTGGTCCCCACGGACAATACGGGAGTGGTCGAGAAGTCCAATACGTCGATACACAACAGGGGTAATTAAATAACTAGGAATTCGCAACAGCGAATTTAGAGGATTAAAATAATACGAAAGACCAACAGTTGAGACATACTGACTCGGTTATTCTTGACTCAAACCACTCACTCACTGACACGATAAGCTTTGAGTTTTACACTAAAGAGCTTCGAATATAGGAGCACACTTCAGTGATGGACTAACTCTCGGAAATAGCTACAATTGTTCAAGAAACTACTTGTTTCGTCTAACCACTTAGAATTACAATAGAACTGGCTTGCAGGCTTAGGTTACGATTCATGTTCGGATTAGGAATCTCGGAGAGCGTTGCGCCGACCTCATCTCATCCGGATGAGGGAGGCCCCAGCGAGCCTCTTAAGTCTTGCTCCGCGATTCAAGCCATTGCTATTCTGGTCTTTCTGAGTCTAGATCCTTTTCAGACCGATTATAGCAAGGATCTTAGGATATAGCCCTGGAGACTAACTCGGCCATCATAAATAAAAGCAGGTCCTCATTACCAAATCTTCTGATTTCAATCAGCAGATACATTAGTCGCATAGGACCCTGATGTGCATCTGGCTTTTTATAATTCCGTACCTGACTTTGCCGTGTGGGGAATCTATGGGGTGATGCTCGTGGTGCCTCGATCGCTTGTTGCATTGCATCCGCAGAGATGGGTCTGGTTCTAGGCCGTCGAGATGATTGGAGGTGCCATCCATACAATTAAAATAGCCTTTCTCCATATGTATGGATGGAGCACGTCGATCCGCCTTGATCGATAGCTTGCCAATACAGGCTTCACCCGTGATGCCTTGACATCGGCTAGGCGGACTACGCATGGGCATTTCGTGGTTACTCTAAATATACATATATGCAGCTTAAGCTGCCTCTGTGTTGGAAATTGTTGATATTACTTGCTACTTCGTATTCACCTTCCAGGTAAAACTCACTCAAGATGAAGTATCTCGTAGCCGGACTTCTTTCCCTCGCCGGCGCTGTCTCAGCTGAGGGGCAACTCTGGGGACAATGCGGCGGCCAGGGCTTCACGGGACAGACAGCCTGTCCTTCGGGCTCCAGTTGTCAAGTCTCAAATCAGTGGTATTCACAATGCGTTCCCGGTAAGAACAGAGAGAAATAGGCATAATGCATAGAACTAATACATATCCAGGAACCGACTCGGCGAACAGCGCATCAAAAGTAACCACCAGTCCCACTAATGCTATTTCTCCCGCAGCATCGAGCTTCGCAAAGACGGACGGTCTATTCTTCAACATCGACGGCGAAACTAAGTATTATGCGGGCACAAATAGCTACTGGGTCAGCTTTCTAACAAACAACGCCGACGTCGATAAGACGTTCGACCAGCTCAAGTCGGCAGGGCATAAGATCCTGCGTGTCTGGGGCTTCAACGATGTCACGTCTCAGCCAGGGTCCGGCACGGTCTATTTCCAATACCTGTCGGCAAGAGGCTCGACTATCAACACGGGAGCCAACGGCCTACAGCGCCTCGACTACGTGGTCTCTGCTGCCGAGAAGCGCGGCATCAAGTTGATTATTAACTTCGTTAACAACTGGGGCGACTATGGTGGGATGGCGGCTGTAAGTTATTTTTATTTTTATTTTCATAATATTTAAATCTCACGTTACCCTTTTCCCCTTGGATCTAGTAGTAGCGATATCGAATCCCTATTCAATTACAAAACAGACAACTAACCTTCGCGCTCTAGTACGTAACCGCCTTCGGCGGGTCCCAAAAGACCTGGTACACCAACACCGCAGCGCAGAACCAATACCGCGCGTACATCAAAGCGGTCGTATCGCGGTACGCCAACTCCTCTACGGTGTTCGCCTGGGAGCTGGCCAACGAGCCGCGCTGCAACGGCTGCGAGACCAGCGTGCTAACCACCTGGGCCAAGTCGACCTCAGCCTACGTCAAGAGCCTCGACCCCAACCACATGGTGACGCTGGGCGACGAGGGCTTCGGCCTCGCCGGCGACGGCAGCTACCCCTACCAGTTCGGCGAGGGTCTTGACTTCGCCGCTAACCTCAAGATTGATACCCTCGACTTTGGCACGTTCCATTTGTACCCGAGTACCTGGGGCACGCAGAACGAGTGGGGGAATGCGTGGATCGAGGCCCATGGCGCGGCTTGTGCGGCTGCGGGGAAGCCTTGCTTGTTTGAGGAATGTGAGTATACATACCTGATCCGTGTCCCTGATTACCGATATATCTGGGTGGATGTAAGTAGCATGCTATGAACGTATCAGAAGCTAATTTCGAGACAGACGGATCTACGACCGACCACTGCGGCGTCGAGGGCAAGTGGCAGAAGACGTCACTCTCGACCAAGGGTCTTGCGGCGGACTTGTTCTGGCAGTTGGGGACTACGCTGAGCACGGGGCAGACGCACAATGATGGTTACACCATCTACACAGGTTCGTCGGAATGGACTTGTCTGGTGACGAACCATGTTGCCGCTATTAAATAGATGGGATATTATCATTAGTATTGATTAATTAGCTGGAGGTAAAATAATGTCAATACGGATTGATTCAGAGAGTTTGCCTTGTGGATGCGAATATTCTATATAGAAAGCTCTTACGTTTCTACATATAAACAATGTCTTAGATATCATAATATTAAGAGACATAGGTGCAATATTTCCCTAGCAAGACTTGTCGTAACTTGGTATTAAAGAAGAGAGTACGACGTTAAACCTCGTAGTGTGTAATTATTAAACGCCGTCATGAGCTTCCAGCCAATATATACCGCTCTAGCAAACAAAGGATATCACGATGGAACGCCGATAATCAAAGACCATAACCAAGACCCGTAGGGTGTTACCCAACCCAATGCTTATTCATACCGTCATCAATGCTTCTTTGAATCATGTATCGCGTCGCTATTCTTTTGACCGGATGGGGTCCTCGGTTGAAATCCAAACCTCTGTAATTTCTGCATAAACTTGAAAGTCGCCTTATTCTCGACGCGGTGGACCTCTTCCTTTTCCCTCTCCTTCTCGAGGAATTTCCGTTCCTTTGCTGCGCTTTGGCTTGTATCGAGCTCCGCCTCCTCCTTCTTACGGGCCTCTTCGGGGTCTAACAGCTTCTGCTTCTGGTGCGTGAGCGTCTGCATCGCTTCCTTGCCCTTTTTCTTCGTCTTGATGTATGCCTCCAGTCCGACTAGGACGGCATAGCTCTTGCTGATACTCACGTGCGACATGTCAACGCCTTCTTCCTCTAGACTGTGCACAAAGGCGCGGAAATTTGAAGCCGGAGGGCGGTAGTGGCCTCTGTTCAAAAAGTTAATGATTGCTCCTTTAGCAAGGGGGCTTAGTGAGTCTAGCAAGCCTCGGGAGCAATACTAACTCCCGAGACAGGTCGAAAGGGGAAAAAGAACTCTCAATGTTACATACGAGAGTGGCGAAAGGCTTGATAACCGCCCGTTTTTTATCTTAATCAACCCGGCTGCGGATATCCGCGATCCTTGTAAGAACGAACTGTGCTGGAAAGCACCGCTGTTTTTGACGCCGACATACAAGCGGAACGATGTGTCGGCAACAAATATCCACGTATTTTTGCGGACTGTTTTGCGGAGGAGCTTGTTGAATATTGTTGCGGCTGATACGTGTCGGATTTTTCTAACACCCTTTCGGTCGTCAAAGTCAGGGTCCGCATACTTTGCTGCCATTGCAGCTTCTAGCTCCGAATCTCGTGAAAATCTTGGAGACGACGAACCTGAATGGATGTGCTGCTGTGTAGGCGATTCTACGTTAGATTTGGCTTGTACGTGCGATTCGCCGTTTGCCGTGAATGAAGGCGTAGGGTCGTCGATCGGAACAATACCATGAATGCTGTCCTTCCACCTTTCTGTGGTGTCAACACGCATGCCATTCTTGGCCCAAACTAGACGGCCTTCCACATCAACTTTCACTAAATAATACTGCCTCTCCTCTCGGCTCAGATATCGCACTTGCTCGCGATCCAACCTTTCCCTAGGACAAGCTGCCAAGGCGATTTTCCTACCTTCACCATAGTCCAGCCAGTAAAAGAAGTTCTCGTTAGTATCAGACTTCTTCCATTCTTCGTGATATGCTCTCAAGTTAGACCCGTACCGGTGCTTTAGGTCGACCATTTCTAAGAAGTATTGTAGTCCCATCATTCGGGCGCGTTCTCGTCTTTTTGCTCGAGCCTTCATCTGCTTCTTTCTTACTTCTGCCTTTTTTTCGGCACTCATACCTTGGAAGTCTTCTTCGTTGAGTGATGAGGATGAACTGTCTTCTGCATGATCGGAATCCTCATCAGCCCCAGCGCGGCGGGCTATCTTGGCCACCTTCATCCAATTCTTCCGTGCTGTGGATCGGCTACTGCTAGGCCTCCTTTGGTCACCTGTGTCACCGTTCCCGATACTCTGTGAGCTATTCTGTCTAGCTCGAGGCGTGTTTAGGTCCTTCCATTGTGCATCTCTGATTGCATGTGTCCACCTGGTACCTGCATCTAAGCCTAGCCCTTGCATCTCTCTGCGCACACGATATCCACGATAAGTTCGCTGAATTACGGTTGCCGCCTTCGACCTGATACAGCCATCTGCGGCTTCGCCTTTTTCATCAGACATTGCATTCTTGCTACTCGGCCTGGAGCGCGATTTAGAGTTTGAATGTCTATGCCCGAATATAGAGTGATGATGTCCTAAGCGTTCTTCTTCCTCAGCTACCTTTGATTGCATGAAGTCTCGCCTTGCCTGCATGCTCGTGTGGGCGATTACTATGCTTTGGCGGCGTAGCTCTTGATCGCGGCGCTTGTGCTCTTTTTCGCGCTGCTCTTGTAGTAATGTCAGACGCTGAAACTCCTCCTTGGATGGCGGTTGCAGAGAGTCCAAGTATTCCTGTCGACTCTGGTGACTCTGGTGACTCTGGTGTGATGTAGTATCCGGGGAACTTTTGGATTCCCTGTAAGGACCGGGCGATGACGGTGGGGTTAGCGGGAGAGACCCCGGCGTAGCGGCGGCGAGCTGCGGGGCTAACGAGTGAGATGAAGATAGAGATGAGGATAAGGATGGAGATCGTTCACTTGCGGGTGACAGTATTGGCGTAACACTATGGGCCATCCTGGTCATCTTGCCACTTACACTAGATCGTCACAATAGAAAGGTCACCATTAAAAATAAAGACAATAAGGCTTAAGGCTTAATGTATCGCCGTAATGCCATGTGTGGCTACTCATAGGTTTGATAGGTTAGACAGTATATAAGTTAAACTGACGATATTCGGAAAAACCTCTAGGTAATTCATGTAATTGTAGGTGTATGTATAGAGAATTTTGATATGTACAAATGCCTGATATCGTCAGTGGCTTTGTTCAGAATGACGTAATTACCTACCTATATGTCAGTCGGTTAAACGGCATACAGAGGTGCGATATGCGCGTGCCAGATTTAACATCCGTTTCGTGCATTTGTGTAACATGCCAACAAGAGAGAGGGATGAAGTTACCTAATGCAATGTTTGTAATAGGTAGTTAACTGTAAGTAAAACGGAAATTATGAATTAGGGGAAGTGTACTACGTGTTCATGAATAGGTAGGTACCTAGGAGTATACTTAATCAGATGTAAAATATATCTAAACCATATCATTTGTATAGTTTGCATCTTCGACTTATAATTGATGTTCTTAACTCCCTGGGAGTTATACATAGGTAGTTACCTATATGTAAGTCCCAAGTACAAGTTCGTAATGATGAGTTTCCTCACATCGCATGATAGGAGCGTAAAACGCCACCAATCTAATCATAAGCAATTGAGGTTTCCGTAATAGTTTGCTATAATTATAGCGTACCTATAACATATACCATTACTACGGCAAGGGTTGGGCTATACATTGTAGAAAATCCGAGGATAGGTAATTAGGAGTAAAAAGCTTGTAACTTAGACATCTTCCCTTCGTTACTCCCTTCGGAATTTAGAAGATGGCTTAGATGGTCTCCATTGGTTTAGATCATGGCTTCATGTAATAGACCGTCTACAAATAGCAGACATGTTACCAAGATCAGACGGGCTTCGGAAAGATAAAACCTGCAGGTGAACTACCATGGGTGGGTACGTTTCCCGACATATCTCGCTTCGATAGCCCTATGGTGTGACATCAGTACGCCTAAATCCGTTGTGACGGTATTATGTGTGGCAAGATTCATTATCTGATTAGGAACGATCTGCTTTGTATATTATTTAGGAATTGGGAATAGTTGTTGCTGGTTTGATATTTAGAGGTTGAGGGTTTAAAGCAATTGTTATAAATAAAGATTAAGTTATTGGGGATTTAAAAATCAAACAATACAGGTACATTTAAGATATAAGTTACTGAAGTTACGATGAACACATAGCTAAAAAGTACATTTCATACAGTTACTTCCTATGTCCAATGTTTTAAATTAGAACATAGAAAGGAGGTAATCAAGTACCTAATTCTAAGGAGGTACGTACATGGGGGGCTTGCATTAGGTAGGTACAGTTTAACAGAACAGTGCTAAGATGACTCATCTAACGTTCAATAGTAAGGTTTAAGTTACCTGTACCTACCTGTACCTACCTATACGGACAAGGAGGCGGCCTCCAAATCTGGGGGAGAGTGCCATAACGAACGCCCAAACCATAAAGGAGCTGCCTAGATACGCACTGTACATATTATAGTTGGGTACAATAGCAGTGTTCAGCAGTGTTCAGCAGTGTTGCGCGCGTGCATCTGTAATAACTAAAAAGAGTGATCAATTGATGACAACAGAAGCCTAGAAGTTTGATTTTGGCCCCAAGAAATTTATCTAATTGTTTTGGTACGTCAATGCGCATTTGGTAAATACCATATTAATATTGTTCTGTGCCACCAGCGATCATTATGTCAATTCATACAACTCGAATTGATGGCTACCTCTTCGCGACGACCTGATGCGCTTCAGCGCCCCCAGCACTACCAGCGACGCGCCCATCCCCATTCTCATCCCCATCCCCATCCACATCAACAGCACACAACTAATCACACAATTAATCCTAATATTAAGAACATCAATCAAGCTACTGCAAGTATTGACGCTAATAGCGTGGCTGCTAAACATGCTCATGTCATCGCGACACATATCAAAACGCGAAACTCGCAAAATATCCTTCAACAGACTAGTCCTTCACGAATGAAGCGTCCTTTAGATCCTATCGCCAATAACTACGACCCTTCCAAGACCAAAAGAGCCCGAATTACTGTCGAGATTCTAGCCAGACCCATTCCTTCTACGAATCCTCCTAGATCCATCACAGTGAATACAGTAAATACGGTGAAGCCACAACCCCAACTTCAAACCGAAACTCATACCGAAATTCATACGAACGAGCCTCCGGTCGCATCAACGCAAATTCTCCCTGCTCAACAGGAAACTACCAAGACGGCGACAGCAATAGAATCTGGTTTAAAAAGGCATAAGGAAAAAGCTATCAATGGAATTAAACATGAACTCGATAGATTACAACCAAGTGCAACCGATACCAATTCGGCAACAGAACGGCCCGGTCGCAAGTTGCGGTCACAGGAGGCGACTCGCTTCAAGAGCGAGTTGTCAGCATATTTCCCCGATTATGATGAAGTAATCGGCAATGATCCTAAAGAACAACGTAAGTGCAACTGTTATTTATAATTCCCAAATTTCTAATTTTTAATTTTTAATTTCCAATTTCCAATTATATATTATTATACTTTTCTCAAGATGCATTCTTTCAATTGCTGATACCAGAAATTAGACGTTCTTAACCTCGATACTCCAATTGTCCTCGTCGATACCAATCCCCTCTCCAGTATTCATCAATCACAACCCCCTGTACCCCCTCCAGATCAGGTAGCGACAGACGCCAGCGAACGACCCCACACTATATATAATACAGTGCGAACTTACGGTGACAATCTGTTCGCTAATCTGTACGACTCTCAACGCATTGACTTCGCCTTTCTTGAAGCACGATATAATGGCAAAGATGTTGAAGATCCCCTACCAGATGCTTATTTTGGACCGGCGCATAAAAAAGCCGAGAGGTTAGAAAAGTCAATCCGAAATACAGAAAAAGGTCGCGCACAACATGAGAAGGACCAGATCATTCGACTGCTCAATGAGCTCCAAGGCCATGACTGGCTAAGAACAATGGGTGTCAGTGGTGTCACTGAAAGCCGTAAGAAGACATTCGAGCCTGCCCGAGATCACTTTATTAAGGGTTGTCAAGCGATCTTGGAGAAGTTCCGTGTGTGGAGTCAAGAAGAGAAAAAGAGAAAGCTTATGAAGGAACGCGCGTTAGCGGAAGAGGCAGAAGAAAACGAAGAAAAAGAAACCGAGGTAGGGGATAACGATGACGAGCGACCAAGTCAGGAGGGTGCTTCAGGTGAGGATGAAGAAATGGGCGACGTTGAAACAGACGACGATATCCGGGAAGATGTTAGCGACGGTGATCCCCCGGACTACAGCGATGCTGACGCATCTGCAAGGCAACTTCTTGACGAGGCATTAGCACGGGCCAAGTATACTGCATCGAGTTCTAAGAGATCTCGGGGTGAACCACCACCAAAGTCACCAGAACCGTATGTGGCAAAGGAGTTTACATCGTTCTTTGTCAAGAAACATCAGCGTGAAGCAGCTCTCAATAAGAGCCGGCGAAGAGGAAGGACTATTGTAGCTTGGGGCCATCCTATCCCAGATATGGTTGAAGGCGACTTTGAATTACCCGAAGAATACCGTGATATTGAGACTTTGAAAGCCCACGAGAGGCAAAAAAGGCGAGAAAGGCGTCAGCGTCAGCATTAATTTATTGAATCGATGTTAGGGCTATCATGTTTGCCTTTCCGGTATGAGGCAACATATAGCATAAATGTTTATTGCTGGACTATCAGGACATAAAAGTTCCTATTCACTCAAATGCAACTGAATGAGGCTTTAGATTTACATGCTGTTCCCCATGAGTTAGGTACTTTTGTTGGTACTATACAATAATGCATTTGGGCATTTAATGTGATACCCTAATAATACGACTCCTGGTAAAGTTCATAGTGGTACATAGTCTGGTGCTGATGAGAGTGAGGTACTTATCTGCTAGGTAAAACACAAGGTTAGGTAGATTAGTAGCATCGAGAGCAATATGAGACATGCAGCAACTCGAGCGTCTTAATTGTCCGGGGTGTGATATGTACCTAACTACCTAATGTAAAATCCAATGCACCTAAAGTCTATATGGTATGTATTTGATATCAAGAGGGGCAGCATTTTTAGTTAAATACCTTATTAGGTACAGTACGGTAGGTATGCGGTACCTAGGTACATCTGGTGGTGCACGGACCTTAAATGCACTACATGTACCTATCGATTCCTTAGTGTAGGCCCGTTCTTACCTTTGAAGCTTTGTAACATGCATGGGCAGCTACGTAGGCCAGGTTGTAGGTTAGGTTCGAGGCGGGAGCTTTTTGAAACTGCGCGAAGCTCTTGTTGATTAACCGACCTTTATTCAAATAAACCGCATTTTTCTTCGCCTCTATGCCAGCGCATCAAGACTGATTATCAGGGACCCATTGTTCAGCACAATAGCTAATAGTATTCACTCTTACTCTGCGCGTATCATAGCCGCGATCCTTCAGCGCGCTCTAACATCGCGTGTGAGGCTATCCTAAAATACCGGCATTTATTTTTACTATCTTCAATATACCTGGGTGTATCTGGAAACTACCCCCGCATGTTTACCTCTTTCTAGTGTTATACATTTACAATAGCTCCTTGAAAGACGAATGTTACCAATGAGTACGATCATTGCGTAGCATAGCGGCTTCGCGGACGCTCAACATGCCTGGCGTAGTAGAGCCAGAATCTCTCGAGGCCGGCGATACTCCTCCCGTCGAGCTTCCTGTCGATGACACGCCTCCTCGTCCTTACGTCGTTTTCACTCAGAATGTCGATCTCGAAATCGATTTTGCCCAAAAGCGCGTCCACGGGCGATCCGATATTTTAATCGTTCCTTTCCTCGATGTTTCCGAAGTCTTTATCGACGCCCGTCAGTGTGATATTGATGTGACTCAGATCACTGTTAGCAACTGTGAGGTGGAGGCCTCCTACACCGATCCTTGCGAATCAATACGAACACCTGAACACTACCGATGGTCAGCACCTCAGTGGCCGATTAAGAAGCGCCGCATGCAACCGTTACTACACCACAAACGTAAGGAAGTGTCAGCGCTGGACCATGACCTAAAGTTGTGTACTCCTCTTGATGGTTCCATTAGAGTCAAACTTCCGAGTGTAGATGAAGTACTGCGGAGGAATAAAGACTCCCAGAAATCCGACCAGCAAGATATACTCCTACACCCCGACGGTACGATAGGCGGCTACAGGATTCGCATTCCCTTCAAGCTGAAAAATGTCTGCGATGGTCTCCAATTCGTTGGTGTTGATGAGGCGGATATCCGATACCCTCACGTCTATACCCGTCACTCTATCGAGCCTGGTACGTCATCTTCTATCTTTCCGTGTGTCGATGACCCGGGCTCGCGAAATTCTTGGAAGATTTCCATCACTTGTCCTCGGACACTCGGCGATGCGTTCCGCAAGCCGCTTACGACGCAACAACCTAGGGGAGTTGGTCCTACTAGTAAAAGCCACAAAAGGAAACACGGCGAGGATGGACATAGAACGGTGGATATCGCCCTTACGGAGGAAGACAAAATGCTAGATATGACCGTCGTTTGCTCAGGGTATTTGACTGGCGAGGTGGTTCACAAAGATGATGAAACCAAGAAGACTATGACTTTTGAGATTGATCGTAACAAGGCAGCAAAGCATATCGGCTTTGCCGTTGGGCCTTTTGAGCACGTAGACCTATGGTCGGAATTCCGCAGCGAAGAGGACGACACCAAGCTTGGTGCCAATGCTGTCAAGGTCCACGGGTATTGCCTTCCAGGTCGTGCGGAAGAGGTTAGAAACACGTGTTCTACTCTCGTCACAGCGGTGGATTACTTCGTACTTACATTCGGTCGGTATCCGTTTGAGAGTTACAAGGTCTGCTTCGTTGATGACATGGTTGAGGACACTGTACCTCTATGCGCCTTTTCGCTATGCAGCACCAGACTACTCTACCCTGCAGATATTATTGATACTGAAGTGGAAACTACAAGGACACTGGTATACTCGCTAGCAAGCCAATGGTTTGGCGTCAACATTGTTCCTAACACAAAAGGAGACATCTGGCTCGTCGTTGGGATAGCATGGTTCTTAACTGACCATTTTATGAAGACGTTGTGCGGTAACAATGAATACAGGTTTCGGATGAAGTCCATGTCGGATCGGCTTGTCGAGGTTGACATAAAACGTCCGTCGCTACAAGACATCGGCGAACACCTGTACTTGGGCAGTTTCGAGGTGGATTTCATGAATCTTAAAGCACCCCTAGTACTATTCATCTTAGATCGCCGTCTTTCCAAATCGTCTAGCTCTACAGGAATCTCCAAGATCATATCTCGAATGGTCAGCAAAGCAAACACGTCCGGCCAGGCCGTTGACGAAATTTTGGAGTCTAGTGCATTCCGCAGAGCTTGCGAGAAGGCCGGCAACACGAGGCTAGAGAGCTTCTGGAATCAATGGGTGCTCATGTCTGGATGTCCGAGGTTCGAAGTATTTCAACGTTTTAATAAGAAGCGATTGTGCGTTGAGATGACAATTCGACAAACTCAGGATATAGCTTTTCTCAAGGCCAGACCGCTTGACAAGAATGATTTCTGGAGGGATGTCATGGAGGAGAACCATGCCGTTTACGCAGCCGAGTTGCAACAGGCTTTTACCGGACCCATGACCATCCGAATCCACGAAGCAGATGGCACACCATACGAACATATAGTTGAAATTCGAGAAGATGCTGCCAAATCTGTAAAGTTCGAGATACCCTATAACACGAAATATAAGAGACTTAAGAGGAACCGTCGGCAGCGTGAAAGGGCATTGGCCAGTAGTACTAAAGGGAACGAGGATGGGCATAGGGATCTCTATTATCTGGGAGATGTCATGCAGCACCAGGATGAGATGGAAGAATGGGATTTCCGTGACTGGGACGAAGAAACTGAAGCAAAAATGGACCAAGAATCTTACGAATGGATACGAATGGATGCTGACTTTGAGTGGATCTGCGAGATGCAAACCAATCTCCCTGCTTACATGTACGCATCGCAATTACAACAAGATAGAGATGTTGTTGCACAGCAAGACTCCATGCTATTCCTTCACAGGAGCTTCTCTAAGACGGGACCGCACCCTCTCGTCTCAACCATACTAGCTCGTACCGTATTGGACCCTCGATATTACTACGGGATACGCGTCATGGCGGCTGATGAGCTTCCTCGCCATGCGGTGAACGAGCATGTGAATTGGATAGGGCTTCGGCATTTGATGAAAATCTTCCAGCATTTCTTTTGTCAGCCGGGAACATATACCCCCTTGCCGAATGACTTCTCAAATAAGCGCCAATACCTAATTCAACGTACTATCCCCGAGGCTATAGCCCGTATCCGTGGCGAAGATGGCAGGTGTCCTAAAGATGCGCGCATGTTCATCCTCGAGCAACTCCAAGCCAATGACAATTCGACCAATATCTATTCCGATCAGCCATATGTCTGCAGGTTAATCAAAGCCCTAGCTGTGTGTCAAATTCCAGACGAGAAGAAAACCAAACAACAAAAGTCGATGTCCTTCGCTTTTGAGGATGCCGATGGTGACGAGGTAATGGCCGATCCTATCGATTCGGAGCCAGAGGAATTCCGTAGGTTGGCAATGGAGGAGATCGAGCGATATCGTAGGATGGATGAGTATTCTCCTTCGTACCAGAACTGTTTCACCACGGCCGCACTCGATGCTCTCTGCCATTTAATGAAAGCAGAGGTTATTAAAAAGGACCCGGTCGTGTTTGTTCAATACCTACAGGACCAGACTTATGATCTTGTACGTGTCAAGGCCTGCGAATCACTTGTCGAACTGGGAATGCTAGAAAGCCCTAAATTCCTACAATTTTACCTGAATTTAACCAGTACTGATCCTTCACCATTCGTCCGGGACCGACTATTTAAAGCCCTCTGTCGTGGCTTTGCCAGTATCGCTATTGGAGAAAACGAACGGCCAGAGGAGCGAGCAACAAATCAACCAGCGGAAGATGACCTTATTGTTGAGCGTGACGATGAAACAATGGAGGCCAGAAAAAAGGCGAAGGCCCGCAAGGAAGATCTCTCAGTAGCGCTTGCAGCCCTGAAGAAGGAGACTACGGACGACGAGAACTTACAGAAGGCCATTTGGAATGCGATGGACTCGCCTATCTTGACTGTAACAGAGCGAATTAATCTCATCGAGCTATGCTCGATACTAGTCGAAGATGACCCATCACTAACTTTGTGTTTCGATTATCCTACCTATTGGACCGTCGAGCGTGGCGAGAAGAGCAGATCTAGATGTCTAGTGACATTCAAGCGGCATTTTAGGAGGAAACCACGCAAGGTATACGCTACACAACCGTTGCCACCCAAACCAGAACCCAAGCGAACCATCACTCTAAACCTCAACCGAAACATCAGCACAGGCTCGAAAGCTGCGACACCTTTGACCGCCCAAGCTCCTCCGCTACCTGCGCCAAGTGCTCCCACTCCAAAACCTTTACAAACTGTTCCGGCACCCAAGCCTACTGCACTTCCTTCTTTGAAGCCCTCGCTTACGTCGAAGGAAAAAGAGCCTGTTGCTCCTGTGAAACCGCCCGCTACCCAGGAATCGAAAGAAAAACCTATCCAAAAACAGGCAAAGCAGTCCACTGCCATAGCCACATCCCAAAAAGCTTCTTCATCGAGTTCTTCTCAGGATAGGCCTAAAGTAGGCGATTCTCACAAAGATAGTATTTCCGTCCAGGCTCCTGTACGACCTACGGTCGAACTTCCGCACCCCGAGCCAAAACCAGCGCCTTCAAAGGTTGGCGTAAGCAGCCATTTAGCCCCCCCGAAACATTCGAAGCCACTTAAACGGGCGAGCACAGAAGGCGATGGTCCTCGGCCGACTAAAATGGTCAAACTTAATACCTCTAGGATCCCTCGGAGGGAATTGGAGAAACTTGGAAAACGACCGAAGCCTAAGATGCTGGTCACGGTGAAGTTCAAGGCCTGGGAAAAATTACGTAAACGCAAAGACAACGTACCTCAAGCCGGTTCAATCCGAGCTACGCTTAAACATCGTAGACCTGAGGATAAACTAAGCGGCTTCAACCCACGCCAAGGCGCTCGTCCGGCCTCGCCTGCGGCTAGGGCTTCGGATTTTGCTCCTATGAAATCATCTTCGGCAGCACAATCCTCCTCTCAGAACCCCTCTGCTAGACCCAATTCTTCCTTCAAGGCACCGTCGCATTCCTCTCAGTCGAGCGGAAATAACGGAAAGCCACGAAAACCTCTTCCAGAAATGCGCAAGCCGCTCCCATCAGCGGCGCCGGCCAATCCCGTACCGCCGAAGCAATCTCAACCATCTTCGTCCCCTCCGGCACCAAAGGGTCCCACCAAGCTAAAGATCAAGCTGAAGCCGCCTACGTCGGGGTCACCTGGGACTTAATACAGTATTGAATGTATCGTTGTTTGTTTTGCTTGAGTATACGGAGCTATATGGTACCCGCTAAGCTTGGTGGGATTACCCGGCTCCCTTTTGTTCGCAAGTATATTCACTTCTTTTTTGCATGGCATGGCATTGGCGTTGGGAATAGGAGGATGTGACTCTGGCCAAAATGCAGTTGCTCTCTTTTTTTTTTTCTCGTACGTGTAGGTTCCACTAGGAAATGACGATTAGGTGGACAGTGGACAGTAAATGGATGGAGAGGCGGATGGATTTAACACCTCAAGACTTGCAATGAGTAGGCTACTGTTACTATCTGCTGGTCCTGGCATCGAGTCTTAGCAGAGGAGGAAGGAAGGAAAGCAATGGACTATGTGTGTGTATATTACTAGTCAAACCTATTTAATAGGTGGCGTTGATTACGAGGTCTTTCTTAACGCAGAGTGCGGTGCTCAATTGCCTGTAGAGGTGTAGCAAGACATAATCGTGATTCGTCTATGTGATATACTACAGACTCAGTCCCAGGATCGTAAATGAATAGTATTCCCCAGTACTTTTGATATATCTTTTCAGTTGTAGTGTTGACATTAGTGAATATAGCTCCAGCCCTAATTAATTACCAACCTAGGTACTTTTCTAGACATCCATCTGTTCTATATAGCTTTTGTATCCTACATGCGAGGAGCGCTAATAAGGTAGCCAAGGATCTTCTCCAGTCTCTAATGCAATACAATCATAGTTCTCAGAGATATATCTCTTCCCTTCCTCTCCTTCCTTTGAGTCCGCTTTGCGGTACTACAATCATGGAGGTCAGCATATTTCTCAAGTACATAGCAAAGAGAGTCTTAGGAGAAAACTAACCTCAACCCCCGAGAAGCTCCAGGTTTGGGGCGAATTGGAACCAAATTGCTCTGGATCTTAGCAGCCCCCTTCTTCGCCATCCTCGCTGGATGTCTCTTCTCTGCTCTTATTACAACATCCACAAACTCACATAAACAAACAGACACCTGTCTATCTACCCCTCTCACCCACCTCTTCTCACACACAGCAAGCAAAACACATAGCATCTCTTAAGCACACCGCCCCAAACATCATTTCCTAGTCTCCACCTCTCCCGTAGGAAGTCCATCCTTGTCACATTAAATCGCCTCTGCTATGCAATATGCAGCTACCTATTCGGCAGCGCTTGACTGACTAGCAGGGACGAAGTCGCTCTCAGAGCACAGAAGAGCCATGGGCTATTTCGCAAAGCGAAATGCTGGGGTTCTGTGCGTGCGAGCTTGTGACTAGATGGAACTTTTTCTGGGAGGGGCTTCGCTGTACTTTGATAGATGGGGAGATGGGTGGGATGGGTGGTGCTTGGTTTGCTGTGGGGAGAAGAGAGGGGGTGAGACGAGTGGATAGATAGGCTCGCTGCTGTGGTTGTAGTGGGCTGAGTATGTTGGATTTGGTGTTGAGCGATGGTGAAAATGCTGGGCTGGCGATACTTGCACAGGGGCTGCGAGGGTGTTTGTGTGTAGCTTATATATATTGAAAGTCTTCACTGTGGAATAAATGTTAGTAAGACATTTGTTGCAGACATGGCCCCAGGTATAGGATTTACCTCTGAACGGGAACCACGAAGAAACAAGGAAACAAGAGATAAGGAGGTAGACTTACTATTTCGCTCTTTCTAGCATAGCTAGCATATCAAATCAAGTGTATCCTTAGTTATTGCCCCCATTCCCATACGACACGGTCCTTTTATCCTTAAAGGTAAGAAGCAACAGCCAGGTACGCCATGCCCACACCACAACGCAAAAATTAACGGATGGTCGCAATGGCAGGGTCCTAACGCCGTCTCGACCCCGTGCCCGCCGTCGATCCCGAAATACCTATCCGCTCTTCTCTACTCCGCGTCATCATACGCGATGCTTGTGATGGGGCCGCGGTGGTCGGCTCCGTGCTTCCCTGTCTGCTGGTCGCTGACCGAGCTGGCCCGGCCGTCCTTCCTGTCTGCCCTGTACTCCCGCTCGTGCCTGTGATCCGCTGCATTCGTGTCGAGGGGGCTGGTGCGGTTGGAGTGGTGTGTTGACTTCGTGATGCTCGTATTTGCTGTAGATACGCGGCGCGTGCCTGGCCGGGTGATTGCTCGCGCCTGTTGAATTGTTCGCGGGCGGCGCGGCGGGGCGCCATTACGAAGGGGTCGCTTGTATCGGCTTCGTCTGCGTCCGCGTCCGCGTCCACGTCCACGTCCACGTCTTGCATGTCTTCGTCGTCTTCGATCCGCGGTGGCGACGGGGTTACGGATGAGGAAGAGGTGTCCATAGCGGTAGGTTGTGGTTGTAATGGGTGAGATGTAGCACGCGAGCTTGTCTGGTTTTGCAATTGGGCTTGCATGGCTTCGAAGCGGCGGTCTTCGAGCGCGGCGACATCTTCGGCGGTGAGGGTAAGCGTTGTTGGTGGGCGACGGAGCATTGTATTTGGTTGTTTGTTTGTTTGTTTGTTTTCTTTTTAGCGAGAGTATCGGCTGCTATAGGATTGGCTTTGGCCGGCCTTGTCTTGAATGTAGTGTTGCGCTGATCTGAGGGTTATCGCTTAAAGAGAGGATAGCGATACCAATAAAAGAAGGTAGATATTAGATGTTTGTAATGAGTGATACGAAGTAATTAATTTAGAGATATTGATCCAATTGCTAGTAAAGATAGCTTAGCAATGTAGATGCAGGATAGACCGCGAGCGCTGAATGTTGCAATGTGTTTGTATGTTGATGTTGTTGTTAAGGGTTAAAAGTAAACATAAATTTAATTTTTACGATGACAACCGTGAAGCTCACTATTGGCAGCTGCGGGGTCCAAGTTTGGCGATGATGTTGTACGTACCTTTTAGTGGGACGTCCCGCGCCTACGCGCTTATCTTTCAGCCCTATTAGTGGATCAGGTACCTAGAAACTAAATGCGTCGAGTTTTGGTGTCCCTTTTGTAACGAAGTATGATGTAGCTGGGCAACATGAACTTGCATTGTACATGTACTTTAGGTACCTGATACATTATTATGTAGAAAATATTCTTATAAGGTACATACATTAGGTACTACATTGTATAAGCCATTTGTGCAGCTCCTTTCAGCTCGGATCTTTCTACATCGTTGTTAAATTATATTACTTCTCTATGATAGTTAATAGCTAATGTCTACATAGGTATATTTCGAACAAGCACCTTACGACTCTACATTTTCTATTAATTCATTCAATCTGGTGTCCAATACTGAAGTTTTCTAGTTTAGAAACAGGGCATTAAGGAATTCATTCCTTGGCAGCCCCGTAGCTAATATTTGGATCTTATGAAAGTTTATCTGATCAAGTTCAAGATCTAATTCTGAAAGATCCCCCCCTAAAGCATAATACTAACAATACGGGAGGGTGCGTCTAATATAAGAATCCCAACATATTACATGATCTCTGGCTTGCATATACTTTTTCGGCAAGATCGTCGTTGAAGAACGACAAGGCAGATTGCGTATTCTGGAGATGTTGGCCCAGTCCTTCGGGTCAGGTGCTTCGTCTCGCTAGTCCAGGGAGTCCGGGGAAGAGGGAAATACCTAGCCACAGCTCATGGAAGGATCCGGTGGCGGTATCACGTTGATAGTCGTATTTGACGGAATAGTTGAAAACATAGGGAATACTAAGGTAAAAAAAAATTAAACGCTGATACTGCCACCACGGACCCGGCGGATAAGGATCTGTCCTCAAGCTAGGCAATCCGCATTGTAATCGTACAAGCCCCTAAAATATAGCTAATTAATGGCTAACCCAAGGATATGGTTGCCGGAATTCGTCATCATATAGGGGGCCATCGTACCATACCATCCACATAAGTTAGCCGACTAACGCATTATGGCAATATAAATCTCATGGGTTGAGATTGAGATACATAACCCATCTTCAAAGCTATTGCCGGAAGTCAAGGACTCGCTTCCGGTGAACCGTATGTGTGCATACAACGAAAGTCGTGGGATTTAGAGTCCATCCCGAAACATTCTACTAGCTACCACGACGTTGCTTACAGCTTTTGCTATCACTATAGTATAACTCCTTGTAGAAAGGCTATAGCTTACGACTTAGCTACGTCCAAGTATCCTATGAAGTGCTCAAGTTTAGGATCATGATATTCAACCTCTTCAACATACGAAAACAAAACCTACCGTCTTAACTATAAGACGGGATAACGTATATAGAACTAATTCAACTAAGTTAATATAATCATATACAAACACAAATTTATAACATTTATAAGGACAGACTTTAATTATTCTTTTAATAACTACTAACTAGTAATAACTATGAGTATTTAAACTCTCTTCGTATGAGACTATTAGAAGCTAGACCAATACCAATCTCAGCCATCTACTCTAGGAGACTGCGCTTTAAAATTTAGATATACATCCAACTTCCAGTATTATAGGAAACTTACTCGTTATATCGTATTTTTACGATTTGAATTATTTAAATTGTGTTGGTAGAAAGAAGAAAATTATATGTTCAATACTGCGATAACAGTTGGGTTCAATGCAATTAAGCGATATAGATAACTCAATTAAGCCCACCGTACCCACTAAAATTTTCCTATCTTTCAACTTTGCGCCGAATGCAACTTTCGGTGCAACTCTCATAAACCATCATTACAAAAACCCAACATGCATCCTTAAGATAGAATTTAGGAAGGGCATATATGTATACACGAAGCCCATAACATACCCGTTCGACTAACAGCCAGTCCCACCGTCCTTATAATGGACGCGCACGCCCTCCTAACTGCCCAAGGGTGGCGGGGCAAAGGACACACGCTGCACCCGACGAGCGATAGCACGGGATTGACGCACCACTTGCTGATGAAGCGCAACGACGACGGTAGTGGTCTCGGGAGCAAGAAAGGCGACCACAAGGCCGAGGCATGGTGGCTGAATGCCTTCGACCAGGCTCTTAAGGGCATCGACACCAAGACCGGCACCATGAAGCAGACCCTTAAAGGCGGCGCGCTCGAAAAGATTACCTCTCGCGGTGCAGCTAGCAAGTACACAGGCACGCGGGGTCTATACTCTTCGTTCGTGCGCGGAGGAGTTATAGAAGGGACTGTGGGCCAGAACCTGGTGACGGGGCTTCCGACGCCCCCAGATAGCGGTGTTGGCACGCCAGAGGCTTGTGCTAGTGTAGATGGAAAAGAGACGAAAGAAGAGAGGAGAGCTAGAAGAGAAGCTAAAAGGATACGGAAAACTGAGAAGCAGGCGAGGAAAGAGGCAAAGGAACGAGCTACGAGGAAAGTCGAGAAGAAAAAGGCGAAGAAGGCGGAGGGGGAACGGATAAAGGCCGGCGAGACGAAGGAAGAGCGTCGCGCGAGGAGAGAGGCGAGGAGGAAGCGAAAAGAGGAGAAAAGGCGGCTTAAAGTAGCGTCTGGAGGATGAGTAGGGGATGCCGAGGGAAGAAAGCGATTTACTCATTCAAGTTATTATACCCGGAGCCTCTCTCCTCAGGTTCACAATGGTTGAGATGTGATATACTGGCTTTGTGGTGCATTTTGCGGTGCACCCGTGGACCTACGCCGAGAGGTTCATTAAGTTAGCATCTTGTTAGGGGAGGGTTAATCACCGGAGATGGACAGCCAGCTTACTGTTGTAGCTCATACTCCTCCTGAGCAGGTTGCTGTTGTTGTCTTCGTTGCACGTCGCCGCAATATTCCCATAATGCAGCATTTATAGCCGCGATAGCAACGAGGAGGAAAATTACAACTAGGACTACTCCGACGATATCTTTGGCATCCCAAGTATATACTACGACCTCTTGTCTAGGTACTCGTAGATTACCCTCCATTGCGTTTGAATTGTGCTAGGATTAATATATCTCTAAAACACATGCACATGTAGCTAGCTTGATTGGAGTAAGGGGGTGTCCCAAGTTGGTTCGAATATAATTTATTATGTTTCCTTCGGGATCTTGCCTGGTTTATTTGACAGTATCCAAGGCCGTCTCTCCCAGAACTCGTCCTTTATAATGTCTACATGATCGACCAGCACTTTCGCCTTCGCCCGTCGCTTTTTGTCCTTGTCATCCTGTGTTTTGGACTGTCGTACAGCTTCTGCCAGCTCATCAGCGGCCTTAGCTACGTCGTGGTTGCCAGGCTCGACGAGTTCGTACTATATACGTTAACAAGGAGGTCAAACTATATGGAGTAGTGAACATAACTGACATCTCGATATATTACACTTCCTTTCTTGAATATCTCAGGCTCGTTGTTATAGTTGATTTTGAACCTCGAGAAAAGAAGCTCATGCTTATCAGCTGCAAGAGTACCCTGGATACCGGTTAGATCAGCTTGATTGCGAGAATGAGGCGACTCACAGATAATAGCTGCTCGGCAGCCTTGGCTTCCATCCCGGGGGGTAGCTGGACGAGCGACCAGAACGTAGTGTTATACAAATTGTTGATGTGACCTATCATTTCATCAGCGCCTTTGATTTGGCTGTATACCGAGAGAATACACACAGTCTACTTGGCGCCAGCTCATATAGTCTCGTAGGTTCTGTACGCTGGGATAGCAAACAGCTCGGCCATCAAAGCTAGGAAGCGGTGGCGATAATGGCGTATCTGGAAAGTAGGTTGACCATAGGTGGATGTAGTATGCAGTAAATGTCGAGACTATCGTCGAAACGATTTTGCTACATACTTTGAGTAAGACATACTCGGACGCTGTGGCTCCTGAGTAGCTTACCTCGCTCTTCTTTCAAATAGACTGCATGTTTTATGAAAAACAAAGCTGGTGAAATTTAGTATTGGCAATTCGTCTTCCTATAGACTACATATAATACCTGAACTCATCGCTAACACCATAGGCAATAGTGATGTCATGGATTTCAGTTACGACGGCTTTAGCAGCAGCGTTCATCAAGTCCAGAGCTCTACGGTCATTGGGTTTCTCGAAATTATACTTGGCACATAATCTATCTCGAAAATATACATCAGAATAGGATCGAGACAAGAATGTTTCATATTTGGGAGTATTACTTTGTGAATCCTCTACCGTCTATTCTAACTACCATCCAGGTATTTGGCAATAGGTTGTCGACTTGCTCAAATTGTTTGACGTATTCAAATCTGAGGTTAGGGTTAGGTTATATGATATCTACGTATTGAACGAAAGGGAATAACTTGCCTCGAGTTAGCCATTTTGTTGGCTTTAACATAGGAAATATACTGTAAATAGATGCATGTAAAGTATATACTTCATGTTCAGATGCTAATGGAAGATCGTATATATAAAAGTACTTTGATACTTAGAGATTATTACTGCTGAGTCATTGCCGGGATTGTCGCAGAGTGGGGAACTACATAGTGGGGACATCTGAGAAGTACCTGTCAGGACCCCTGCGAGCTATCTGCACGAACTGCAAGGCTACGGAAGGTACCTGCCTCTGCCACATGCTTTATGGAAGCTGAATTTGAAAAATATTGGATACAATTACAACTTTAGATTGCAAAATACATAAACTGCAATATCTCTCTGACAATTATTTGATAGTTGCATATATATGTCTCCATACCCAATCGGAATATTGCAGACGAATTACTATCATTTCTCGAGCCGCAAGACATGAACGCGCCGACATGAATCTATTACTTTCCGACGACTACCTGCTCCAGGACTATCCCGAGAATATCACAAATACGATCCGGTCTGGTCATACGACATGTCTCCGCTTCAATCGCAGAGGCGACTACTTAGCCTCAGGTCGCGTTGATGGAACAGTAGTAGTTTGGGACCTCGAAACGATGGGCGTGGCGCGGAAGTTAAGAGGTCATAGAGCGGCAATAACTTCACTTAGCTGGTCTAGATGTGGTCGATATTTGTTATCTGCTTGTCAGGGCTGGAGGGCCGTTTTATGGGATCTTCAAGACGGTACAAGGTATCGAGAAGTGCGCTTTCGTGCACCCATTTACACGGCAGATTTGCATCCTTGGAATCAGTATGCATTGCCCATATTCACGATCTAATGACTAGAAGCTCTAACCACAGCATCCATTATAGTAACCTATTCGTTGCATCCGTGTTCGATGAAGCCCCGTCTATTGTTGACATGAGTGGCCTGAGCGATGTCAAACATACCCTTCCCTCTGCGCCGAAACGAGCCAATGCCGATGTCGATGCAGCGACAAAGGAGAAACATGCTAAAGAAGACGCAAAACAGATGACAACTGTCACCGTATGGACAGCTACAGGTGATCATGTTCTAGCAGGTACAAACAAAGGTCGCCTCAACATCATAGACGCGACTAGTCGCGAAATCATATGGTCAGAGAAGATATGTAGTTCGGTAGTGACTACATTGCGGTTGACAGGGTCTGGTCGTGAATTATTGGCCAATTCACAGGATCGTATCATCAGGACCTTCCATGTACCAAATCTATCAGCAGAGGATCTCGACCCCGATACGATACAGATGCCATTAGAACACAAGTTTCAAGATGTTGTCAATAGACTTTCTTGGAATCATGTCACATTCAGTGCCACCGGAGAATACGTGGCAGCCTCTACATATAATAATCACGAGTTATATATATGGGAACGAAATCATGGTAGTTTGGTACGAATGTTGGAGGGGCCCAAGGAGGAACAAGGGGTTATCGAGTGGCACCCGCACCGAGCTGTACTAGCCGCCTGCGGACTCGAAACCGGTCGCATCTACATTTGGTCGGTGACTACGCCACAGCGCTGGTCAGCACTGGCGCCGGATTTCGTCGAGGTCGAGGAGAATGTAGAGTATATAGAGAGGGAGGACGAGTTCGATATCCACCCGCAGGAGGAGATTAACAAACGCAGACTGGACAGGGAAGACGAGGATATCGACGTATTAACATCGGACTTAAGCAAGGGATATCACGAGGAGATCGACAGCGCAGAGTTCCGCATGCCTGTATTATTTAATCTTGGCGAGAGTGATAGCGAGGAGGAGTTCGTTGCAGTGTCGACGGGTACGGTTCGACGAAGAAGCTTAGGCGAAGGCCATGAGGGCGAAGCTCATGATGAAGAAAAGGTAGCTGGAGGCAAGAAAACAGCCACGAAAGGTACGAGAGGTAGGAAGAAGTGAGATACCCAATAGTACCTTCTAGTGGCTTCCTGATGAGATGAATCCCTTAGCAGTGACAAACTATCCAGTAAAATCAATTATCCGTCGGAGACATTTTTTACGCTCAAACTTTTCGAAATTATTATGGGAAACTGATAAGTAATTGATAAATAATTGATAAATAATTGATAAGTAATTGATAAGTAATTCTTTAATAAATGATAAGAAATTGATAAGCTAATAAAGAAAATAATTGGCTAAGATTCATCAAGACATTTAAATGTTTCCGACGGATTCTACCGTGCGAGCCTGCGAGCACGTGAAAACGCTTGCGCGAGCTTGCGAGTGCATGCGTTTTCCTAAATTTTATATGTAAACACTGTCACAATGTGTGTTTGTAAAACTTACCTAGGTACCTAAGTCGTTAGGATGATACTTACAGGTAGTGTGTGGGTTAGTGAATTGATGTTGCGCGGCGCATTCGTTGATTACCTGATAACTGTTGCCCGTTTGCTGGGTAAGTACTCCCTTAACATACCTGCCTATACTGATACTTTGTGGAATGCAAATAGGTACTTTGGTTGTTGTTTGACTCATCGGGCAACTGCAATTTCTTCGTCAAGGTCACACGACCAAACCTTAAATTGAATTGTTGAATACATGTACCTACATGCATTGATCGACCTGAACATTTTAAAGTTTGGGTTGTCTGTGACTTTGAAGCTACACTAAGCCTCTGGCGTTAAATTTACTTCAAGCTTTTATGTGGGGGGAACCCTAGGTACATACTTGTTTCGCATTGCATTTTTTAGGGGACTTTTAGGACTTTTAGGTAGGTATGTACCTCTAAGGTACCTTCCTTGCCGATTGAATTCTCGATCAGCCGCATGGAGAAATTTGCTTCCGAAGACCCATTGTTCCATATTTGGTTTAGCTTAGAATCGTGGCGGCTTCTGCCTCATTATTCCTTAGTCCTCTCAACTCCTTCCAAGAAAGGCTTCTCACAACCATAACAACAATCTTACGATTGACGAAACATCACGACGCGCTCCGGATACCGAATCAGTCCCCTCCCTGCGACTGTCCGAAACTAACTATCGCGTCTGCACAGTGATTTTTCAATTATCGCGATTCTTTTTCGACCTGCGCGCGCGCTGGAACGGTTCTAATCGTGTTCCTCGGGCCTTTGGCCTGGTTGGAAACGGGCCTCCAGCGCCATACTTTCTTGTATCAACAAGCACGTCTATTGTGCCTTCCTCCGCCGGTTGTAAATATTTCAGCTGCCTGGCCGGCATTATTTTCCACTCTACGAGTCACGATCCGACAAAAATAATACAACTCACCACCTTTTTTTTTCTTTTTTACACTATACTCTCATTTCGACCCAGGCCTTTGCCCACACCGCGCATTAACTAAAACCACTCTCTCAACGCGATCATCAAAAATTTTCATCAAATTACGAACTCAACTACTAATATTTATCAATCAACGAATCCATTAAGATGGCGAACCTTCATTTCGCGCACTCTGATGCGCCTCTCAAGGACATCAAAGAGATTCAATTCAGTCTTCTCTCGCCCGAGGAGATCAAGGGTGCAAGTGTTGCGGCAATCACTTACCCTGAGACTATGGACGAAACCCGGACGAAGCCTCGTATGAATGGCCTAAATGACCCCCGCCTTGGCTCAGTAGACCGCCAGTTCAAGTGTGCCACTTGTTTAGAGCCTATGGCTGAATGCAATGGCCATTTCGGTCACATTGAGTTGGCAACGGCTGTCTACCACCCCGGTTACATCAAGAAAGTCAAGAAGATACTAGAGATCGTCTGCCCGTACTGTAGCAAGGTTCTGGAGGACAGAGTCAGTATCTTCTTACTTCCTGGCTAACCTGAATCTTGTTGATGCTGACCCCAACTAGAGCAATCCAGAATTCCAGGCTGCAGTGAATATTCGAGACCCGAAAAAGCGTTTCCAGGCCATTTGGGTCGTCTGCAAGGGTAAGAGAGTTTGTAGTAACGAGACTCCTAAGGATGAGGACAAGGAATACGAACCAGGTAGCAAACCCAAGTCTGAAGGTCATGGTGGTTGCGGCAGCCTCCAACCTGCAGTCCGTCAAACGGCTCTCCAACTATGGTCCCACCAAAAGACGGTGAACGAGGATGGCGTTAAGGCCAACGAGAAGAAGGAGCTCAAAGCCACCGAGGTTCTCAACATCCTAAAGCGCATCACTGATGAGGATTGCCGGGATATGGGCTTGAATACGGAGTATGCTCGACCCGAGAACATGCTTCTTACGGTATTGCCTGTCCCGCCGCCCCCAGTTCGTCCCAGTATTTCTATGGATGGTACCGGCCAAGGCCTAAGAAACGAAGACGACTTGACCTACAAATTAGGTGATATCATCCGTGCCAACAGCAACGTCCGCCAGGCAATTCAGACAGCTGCGCCTGCTCATATCCTTGAAGAATTCCAACAACTCCTCCAGTACCATGTTGCTACCATGATGGACAACGACATAGCCGGCCAGCCTCAGGCGCTCCAGAAGAGTGGTCGCCCGGTCAAGTCTATTCGAGCACGTCTAAAGGGAAAAGAAGGCCGACTACGTGGTAACTTGATGGGTAAACGTGTAGATTTTTCAGCCCGTACTGTCATCACTGGTGATGCAAATATCTCGCTCGACGAAGTTGGTGTTCCCAAAAGTATTGCACGAACGTTGACATACCCCGAGACTGTCACGCCGTACAATATTTCTCGCCTCCATAAGCTTGTCCAAAATGGACCCAACGAACATCCCGGCGCCAAGTATGTTGTCCGAACGGATGGATCCAGAATCGATCTGCGACATCACAAACGTGCTGGTCAAATCAATCTCGAGTATGGCTGGAAAGTTGAACGACATCTTCAGGATGGTGATTACATTATCTTCAATCGTCAGCCGTCCCTTCACAAGGAATCTATGATGGGTCACAGAGTCAAAGTCATGCCTTACTCCACCTTCCGACTGAATCTATCTGTCACCTCGCCTTATAACGCCGATTTCGATGGCGATGAGATGAATCTTCACGTACCGCAGACTGAGGAAACGCGAGCTGAGATTCGCGAGCTTTGCATGGTGCCTCTGAACATTGTTTCACCCCAGCGTAATGGCCCGTTGATGGGTATTGTCCAGGATACTCTAGCTGGTGTGTACAAGATGTGTCGTCGGGATGTATTCATGACGAAAGAGCAGGTCTACAATATCATGTTGTGGGTGCCTGATTGGGATGGCGTTATCCCCCAGCCTGCCATTCTCAGGCCGAGACCTCGCTGGACAGGAAAACAGATTGTTAGCATGATCATTCCGAAGGAGATCAGTATATATACCAAACCTCAAAGCGGCCCATGGCTCCCATTAGTTGATGATGGGCTCCTTGTCCAGTCTGGACAGCTACTTTTCGGCCTACTTACAAAGAAGAATGTCGGTGCCTCTAGTGGAGGTATTATTCATCTTTGTTACAATGAGCTTGGTCCTGAAGGCGCGATGGCTTTTCTTAATGGGTGTCAACGCGTTATAAATTACTGGCTCTTGCACAACGGTCACAGCATTGGTATTGGTGACACAATTCCAGACAGGATAACAATTGATAAGATTCAGGTTCACATTGACGAACAGAAAGACGAAGTAGCCCGGTTGACTGCACAGGCAACAGCAAACGAGCTAGAAGCTCTTCCTGGTATGAATGTTCGAGAAACCTTCGAAAGCAAGGTTTCTAAGGCTCTCAACTCCGCCCGTGATAAGGCGGGTACCACCACTGAGAACAGTCTCAAGGACAGCAACGGCGCCGTGGTTATGGCTCGTTCTGGTTCGAAGGGTTCGTCTATCAATATCTCTCAGATGACTGCCCTCGTCGGGCAACAGATCGTTGAAGGCAAGCGTATTCCCTTCGGCTTTAAATATCGAACCTTGCCGCATTTCACCAAGGACGACTACTCGCCGGAGGCCCGTGGATTCGTCGAGAATTCGTATCTTCGTGGTCTAACTCCTTCGGAGTTCTTCTTTCACGCTATGGCTGGTCGTGAAGGTCTCATTGATACTGCCGTCAAGACAGCCGAAACCGGTTACATCCAGCGTCGTCTTGTCAAAGCCCTCGAGGATGTTTCTGCTCGATACGATGGCACAGTTCGCAATTCGCTTGGCGATATCATTCAGTTCATCTATGGTGAGGATGGTCTCGATGCTATGCACATTGAGAAGCAGCCCATGGATCACTGGGTTATAAGAGATGCTGATTTCGAGGACCGTTACCGCATCGACGTGATGGAGGGTCTTCGCCCGCGTGTGCTCGATGCTCTGGAATATGGGCAAGACCTCATTGGCGATGCGCATGTTCAGGAGCTTTTGGATATGGAGTGGGAAGCCATTTGCAAAGATCGCGAGTACCTTCGAGATCTGAAGAAGGGTTCTGAGAAGCTCGAGGAGATGTTCCAGCTTCCCCTGAACACAGGCCGTATTATCGAGTCGTCCAAGAAACTACTTAAAGTTGATGATGCAAGACGAAGCAACCTCTCGCCTCAAGATGTCATCCCCGTGGTGAAGGATTTATTAGAGCGAATGGTCGTGGTTCGGGGCTCTGATGTCGTGTCTAGAGAAGCTGACGATAACTCAACAAAACTCTTCAAGGCCTTGCTCCGTTCACGATTAGCATTCAAGCGTCTTGCGGTGCACCACCGCCTAGATAAGCTGGCTTTCCGTCACGTTATTGGCGAGCTGGAAAACCGATGGTCTAGGGCAATGGTAAACCCTGGCGAGATGGTTGGTGTGTTGGCCGCGCAGTCAATTGGTGAGCCTGCAACACAGATGACTTTGAACACTTTCCATTTCACGGGTATCTCCTCGAAGAACGTCACTCTTGGTGTGCCTCGTCTGAAGGAAATTCTCAACGTTGCCAGCAACATCAAGACACCTTCAATGATGGTTTACTTGGACGGTAACACCTCCCAGGACCATGCAAAGAAGCTTCGAAGTGCGGTTGAACACACTAA